GATGCCATTTGTTTCTCAATTGATGTGACAAAGGACTATTTGATTTGGTGCTCTTATCTCTAAGATAAAGCTAAATCTTTGTTCCCCCTTCAACACATGGAAATGACATGTTCTTACTCTGCTGGAAGTTTCTTGACACATGTAGCTACATTTCTAAACTTAAACTTATCAGCAGCTCCAGAATATCTGGCTACAGAATTTAATGTGATAATGAAATGACAAAAGCAGTTTCTTTGAGGACCTGTTGAAATTTAAAGTAGTTTATGGTTATTTTGTTAATAAGCAGTAATTATTAATAAGGTAGATGTAGTGATTATTTAAGTGAAAGTGCGTGATTGGGGGAGGAGCAGAGAATCTTAAGCAGGCCCCATGCCCAGTGTGGAGCCCAACTTGAGACTTGATCCCACAACTGTGAGATCATGACCTGAGCTGAAATCAAAAGTCAGATGCTTAACCGACAGCCACCCAGGCATCTAGGTGTAATGATTTATTAACACAGTATTTGAGGAACATTCTAGTATATGTGCTGCTGAAACAAGCACTATTTGAAGAACATTCTATTTGCTCTTTTAAAAATATTATTTTCATTTTTATTTGGAAATGAGAGAATAAATGGTTGATTTTATTTTATTAATGACTTTGGTAGTGTGTTCCTAAAAGTTATATCTGTGTTACAGTGATTTTTCTTTAGAAGCTGTTTTTTAAAGCATTTAAAAATATTTTGTTCACACTGATTAGGCTTATCATCACTTTCAGGAATTACGCATGCTCTTTTTACTTGTGTGGTCAGGATTACTACAACTTACTAGTACTAGCCATGAGGCAGACGTCTTTCTTTAAGTATTTATACCTTTCTTTTTTTCTTTTTTCTTTTTTTTTTTAATGTTTTTTTATTTTATTTCTGAGAGAGACAGTGTGAGCAGGGGAGGGTCAGAAAGAGAGGGAGGTACAGAATCTGAAACAGGCTCCAGGCTCTGAGCTAGCTGTCAACACAGAGCCCGACACAGGTCCCGAACCCACGAACTGTGAGATCATGACCTGAGCCGAAGTTGGATGCTTAACCAACTAAGCCACCCAGGCGCCCCAGTATTTATACCTTTCCTATGGTAGAATTATCTTGACTCTAATTTTGTGTGAAGTGGCTGTGAAAAATGAGTATTGGCTAATGAAAGTATGCAATATTAGATTTTTGAAAGATTGGCTATGAGATGAATAGTGTTTGACCGATGGTTATATTTGTTTAGATTTAGAGAAAGCAAGTAAAACTGAGTTTTTTATGTGAAGTGAAGTACATTTTTTTAAAGTTTATTAATTTATTTGGAGAGAGAGAGAGAGAGAGCACACGTGTGATTGGGAGAGAGCACACGTGTGATTGGGGATGGGGCAGAGAATGAGGGAGAGAAAGAATCCCAAGCAGTCTCTGTACTATCTGTTAGTGCAGACCTAGACATGTGGCCCAATCCTTGAGATAATGACCTAAGCCAAAATGGAGAGTCAGACACTCAACCAACTGAGCCACCCAGGCACCCCAATGAAGTACAGTCTTAAGAAAGAAAATATATAGGCAATTACCGTTATATTATAAGGAAGTTAAGGCAGAGGTATATACAGTAAGCCAGTGTTATAATTTCCCAGTTCATTTACTAAAAAGCAAATAGAATTCTGAAGCTAAATTTTATTTTAAGAATTGTCACAGGAAGCTAAAAGTACTTCTGGCTATGGGCATTCCATACTACTTTCATCTTGAATATATCATTTGCTGCACATTTTTCTGGTTTAAAAGTGAATATTGTTCTGATAATTAGGTAAGCCTGAGGAGGTAGGAAACCTTAACCACTAGGTTTATATAAGTCCCCTATCTCAGTAACCAGTATAACTGAAAGCTGAGGTTTTGGGCTTTCCTCAAGCCTCTCTGCTACATATTTGGCACTTAACTTTACTAATGTCATCATTAATAATCATAAAGAATGAGGAAATGGTGGCCCAGAGAGGAAAATTCATACAGACATTTGTTGAAACTGGGACAAGAGCTCAAGAACTGGGACCAGAACTTAACTTTCTGCCCTAATAAATAGGGTGGGACTTGGGGGAAGAATTTCCTATTTTGATGTGGTCTCTTAAATCACAAATTAACAATTGTTCAAGACACAGTAGAGTAAATGTAAAAACGAAATGAGCACAAAATTTTAATTCTTAAGGAGATTGAAAATATAATTTGTTTTGGCTAGTATGAAATAATAATCACAGTTAACATTTTTTGTGTTTAATTCAGGGCCAGGTAACTGTTTTCTTTATAATATCTCATTTAATTTTTATAACAGCCTTCAGAGAGGTAGGTATTATTACTATATACAGATGGAAAAACTGAAGCTGTAATATTGAGCTGATAGTAAGTAGCAGGACTGGTAATCAAATTTAGATCTGACTCTAAAGCCAAAGTTGTGAACTATTGCATAATATACTCTGGCTTTTTTTTCAACTTAAGCCTGCCTTTTCTAAGAGGAAATAGGTTATGAGAAAACCCATCCAAAGTGTATTCCTTCCCGGGGCGCCTGGGTGGCTTAGTCGGTTAAGCGTCCGACTTTCGCTTGGGTCATGATCTCGCGGTTCGTGGGTTCGGGCCCCGCGTCGGGCTCTGTGCTGACTGCCAGCTCAGAGCCTGGAGCCTGTTTCAGCCCGTGACTCCCTCTCTCTCTGACCCTCCCCTGCTCACGCTGTCTCTCTCTCTGTCTCCTAGAAATAAATTTTAAAAAAAATTAAAAAAAAAAAAAAAACAAAGTGTATTCCTTCTGTAGATCCCTTTTTATTAAAAAAAAAAAGTGTTTTGAATTGTAATCATTTTAATATTATAAACTCCAGCAATTGGGAAAATACATAGTGATTATTCACTCCCTCTAAAAATTAGTGAAATATAGTCTAGTAGCATCTAGCCTTAACCTTTTATTTTATTTTTAAACAGAAACATTGTTCCTTTCATCTTGAGCGATTACAAGAATCACAAAAGGTCACTATACAGATATCACAGGTTAGAGAGATTGTACCCTTTTCTGGATAAAGAGCATGAATCCATTGGCACAGGCCTTATATATAAAGAGGGGTTGAAACTGACTTTATTTAGAGGAACTAAAGCACATTCCCACATAACCCTATTCCTCAAATGAGTGAAGTGACAGCTATCAGGTTTTATAATTAACCTCCTTCTGAAGAGTGAAGGGAACTAGAGAAAGCAGGTAGCTACTCAGCCATTTATGACTTGCTTTCTAGAATCATTTTTGACATTATTTGAAAGTTTGGTGGAATAGAAAAGTTACCAGTGAAAATAGCAGGTTTTCTGTGTTGTACTCTCAAATGAGTTGCCATAGAAAGAGTAAAATAAGTGTAAAGTTTAACATGAACACAAATTTTAGGAACTGGTGGAATTACAAAATCTTCTGCTTATTGCCTTGGATAGAAACTTTACCATTTTAGAATTATCTTTTTAAAATCTGCACTTAAGTTGATGCATTAGGAACTAGATGGCTCTTTAAACCTTGCTATAATTTGTTTCTAAATGGGGTTCTTCAGTCCAGACTAAAAGAAGATCCAAAGATCTGTGCACTTTGTTGCTCTGAGAGAAAATGTCCACTGAATATTGTGAAATAATAAATGTAAATATGCATAAGGATGTATGAACACATAGCCTTGGTATAAGTACTTTGGAAATCCCCAGAAGTAAAACTCATAGTCATGGTCTTTCAGGGAGTTTAAATGTAGTTGGAGAGTTTACCCATTTTTTTAAGCAGACAAACTTAGATGTTCTCTAAACTAAAATTCTGTGTTTCTCAATTGCTTAGTTGTTTTTTGTTTTGTGAGAGAATGTAGAATCTCTCCCTAATACTCAAAGAAAATGTTCAATGTCTTTCTTGTCATATGGTTATCCCTTTTATTTTAGAATGATCTCATGTGTTGTAGTCCGGTTTCCTCTTCAGTTCATTTTTTCTGAGTAGTTTTGAAATTAAAGAGGATTTCTACAGCTTCTAGTCATGAAATTATAGTCTTTCTCTCTTGGATATATAATTGATTACTTCTGCTGAGTTTGGTTTGTGCTATCTCTTAGACTTTCTTTATAGATTAGTTCTTAAGCTTTCAGAGAAGTTGGATTAACTTCTGGACTTAAGAACTTCAAGCAGCTTACTCAGAAAGTGTCAGGTTGAAGCACTGCCTGAAAGTTACCCCTTTCCCCCATAATGTGTTTTCTTGACATTTGGGAACTTGTTTTATTTACTTGTACACATCATCCTGTAAGTAGTCACACATTAATTTTAAATTTCAGTCCAAAATTACCTTGTGCCCTTTGCTTATTTGCATTATGCCTTTTTTGACAGTGGTCTAATTAATTTAATCGTTCCATTCTGGCCATGTGTGTTTAAACGAGTACACATTGGCTTTTTCATTAAAACAAACATTTCTTATAAGTCTATATAGAAATATTTAAGTAGCTGGTCAAAAAGATGGCTGTTGCTATTTTGATAATTGTTGCTGGCAGTTAAGTAACCTTTTAGGGTTCTAGAACTCTCAACACTTGGTTATAGGAAACTAGTTTCTGGCAGTTCCTGATGTGAGCACACCAGGTTTTGTTTGCTGTTTGTGTTTTGATGTAAAAGCACTTTAATTAAAATAACAATTAGTGTTTGAAGTTATAAGTCGCTGAACATACTTCTTGATGTGTTGTTAAGTATGGTCTTTGCTGCCTATTTTGTAAGGATTGAAAATGATTTGTCCTTTTCCCAGTTTTCCCTTTAGTTTATAGCAGAGAAGGAGCAAACAGGGCAAAGGAAAGAGTAGGTGACAGAGTTTAGGTAGTTAATCCTTGTAGTCTGTCTTTATGAAAGAGGAGTAGTTATTGCATGTATACAGATAATATTTAAACATGAATATATCTTAGAGATATTTATTAATTGGATTAGATGTGTTCTTAAAATACACCAGCCTAATTTATCAAATGGCTTTTTCCCCTCCAGTTCTGTAGAAAATGTTCTCAAAACACTCGTGAAAAGCTGCCGGCCGTAAGTAGCCTCTCATTTTATAAAGCCTCTTACTTTTTCTTTGGGCTTTTCCCCATCCTTAGTATGCTTTGAAGAGAAAATTAAAGGTATAAATAGTTTCTAACAGTGTGATGTTAGTCACTGGGCACAACATATCATTTCCAACTCTTGAACTAAATTATTCAGCTTTCATTTATAAATTTAGAAATTTTTAAGTGATGTGGGTGTCACACATTATAAAATAAGAATGCCATAATTTATGTATAATTGTCTTTACTTGAAAGATTTTCCTAGAGTATCATTACTCAGATAAAAAATATTTTCCAAAATGAGTATTGTAGGTATTGCATCAAAACAAAAATATGAGTAATAATGAAAAGGTGTTCAGACATTTTTTAAGTATTTTTAAAACTTTTTAAAATGTTTTTAATCCTTTTTTTTTTTTTTTTTTTTTTGAGAGAGAGACTCTGAGCACGAGCAAGGGAGGCACAGAGAGAGGGAGACACAGAAAAAAAAAAAAAAAAGCAGGCTCCAGGCTCTCATCTGTCAGCACAGAGCCCGACACAGGGCTCGAACTCATGAACCCTGAGATCATAATCTGAACTGAAGTTGGATGCTTAACCAACTGAGCCACCCTGGCAACCCTAAATATTTTTCAAAGTAAAAGACATTTTATTTATTTATTTATTTTTTAAAATTTATTTTTTATTTATTTATTTTTTTAAATGTTTTATTTATTTCTAGGAGAGAGAGACAGCATGAGCAGGGGAGGGTCAGAGAGAGAAGGATTCACAGACTGAAACAGGCTCCAGGCTCTGAGCTGGCAGTCAGCACAGAGCCCGACGCGGGGCTCGAACCCACGAACCGCAAGATCATGACCTAAGTGAAAGTCGGACGCTCAACCGACTAAGCCACCCAGGCGCCCCAAAAGACATTTTTTAAAGTTCTTTTACAATAGAACATACAGAAATATTCCATCTTCTTCTATTTAAACATGAATTTGGGTTGAATTTAGTTTAAATCAATTAAAGTCCAGTTCTTTCACTCGAACTATTGTTTATCAGGGTGTTCTTAGACTGCTTATCCTGCTATGTATGGATGCAGTGAATTTTTTTGAATAGAAAACCCTATTTTATCATATTTTTATAATATGAGTTAAAGTTATAAATGGTTTTATAAATCAGGTATTTATTGCTGACCTACCATACTACTCAGTCTTGGGCAACTGTATTTTTAAGATATAGTCTCCCTTTTAAGATTGAGGCTTGGGGCACCTGGGTGGCTCAGTCGGTTAAGCATCCGACTTCGGCTCAGGTCATGGTCTCACAGTTCGTGGGTTCGAGCCCCGCATCGGGCTCTGTGCTTTCAGCTAGCTCAGAGTCTGGAGCCTGTTTTGGATTCTGTATCTCCCTCTCTCTCTGACCCTCCCCTGCTCACGCTGTCTATCTCTCTCAGAAATAAATAAAACATTAAAAAATTAAAAAAAAAAAAAAAAGGATTGAGGCTTAAGATCTAACCTGAGTCATAAGCCACCAATGAGGAAATGTCATTTTGAGCTAGGCATTTACTTCTTAAGTCTGTTTCCTGACTGGAAATTTGATCATCACTGGGCTACTTAGTGGTTTTTAGGTTCTTAGGCAATTCATAGAACACCCAAGCTTTACTTTTGTATTACTAAGCTAACAGTTGACTCTGAAAAATTAGAAAGGAGAATTGGTGTATGAGATCTTTAAAGGCACTATATATATATTGTGTGTGTGTGTGTGTGTTCTAAACTGTGGCACAGTGACATGGCACATAGATGTTTGGTGAACCCAAAGAAGTATTACTAGAAATGTAGGTTTATTTTTCACATAAGGAATGAAGTGTGATTCTAATTAATACAGATGGAGAAAAGATATAATAGGATTAATAATGTGACTTGTAGGCCAAACCTACAAGTGTATTTGAAAGGGTTTCCTAACTTTTTCGGCCATACCCAAATTAAATTTCTCATAAACTTTTTTGTTATTATTATTTTAAATCCCTTAATGGATATTTAGTAATTATACATGGGTTCTCTTTTTCCATTTACCTTTGTTTTGCTTATGAATGCACATTTTAGATTTTAATTTCGTGAATATTCTCTATTCCAGGGCCTCTCCTGCCCATTTCCTAGACTTGTAGAATGTTAGTACCTGTAGGACCAGACCATCTGGTCTAACCCGCTCTTGTATTATAAGAGAGCTCTATGTATTATAAGAGGAAATGGTTTGTCCAGTTGTCCTCTTTTTCATGTCACTTATTATCCATTTATATAGACTAGATTCTCTGTTACTAAATTTTTTTTCCTGTTGTTATTACATAGCACACAGGAAGGGAAAAACTACAAGAAACATGTATATTTATATTTTTAGGTTATTTTAAGTGACTTTGTGTTTTATAAGTTTTATCAGCTTACAGCATTTTTCTAAGTCTTGTAGACAGGAAGAAAATTTACCTTTAAGTATGACAGGGTATTATTTTAGAGGTACAAAATGTGTTTAAGTTAACTTGAGATTTGTGGTGTGTGTGCTATACCTTTTGAAATCCCTCCTGCCCCTTTTTTGGTCAGTCTTATGTTGATGTTGTAGAGTTTTTTTTTTTTTTTTAAGCAGCGATGAGATAAATGAAAACCTTCTTTTTTATTAGATACTTTCCAGCAGATGCCACAGCTGAGATGCTAGAAGAATGGCGGCCTTTAATGTGCCCTTTTGACGTAACAATGCAAAAGGCCATCACTTATTTTGAAATATTTCTTCCTACCTCCCTTCCTCCAGAACTTCATCATAAAGGTTTTAAGTAAGTATATACACATCTTGACAAATTATAGAATAGAGCAAGAAATAGAGATGTATAATAAGCAAACCAGTAAAGCAATTATATATAAGTAAACAAAAATTGACTAACTCAACCATTGTGTTGATTATACTTGAAGTGTATGAAGGCTGAAATAATTAAGCAGAAGATTGTAAAAGAATAGAGAATAATGCTTGTATGTCAAGCCAAAATAAGATGAGGGCTTTTCCAGGCTGGCTCAGATGGTACATTGTGTGACCATTGTTGTTCTCGGAGTTGTGAGTTTGAGCCCCATGTTGCAGGTAGAGCTTACTTAAAAAAAAAAAAAAAAAAAACCTTAAAAAATGAAAAAGAAAAGATAAAGGCTTTAATTTAAGAAAGGAAGAGAGAAAGAATAAAAATGCAAAAAGTAGTAGAAAATGTCAGTAAATAAGCCGTGATAAAAATATTAAATTGTATGGAGTTCAGGGAAAGGGAAAGTGTTTTTCTAAAACTTGTTTTTTTTTCATCACTGAAAGTTTTTCTTGGGTCTTTTTTATAATTTTTTACTTTACTTGTTTAGTCCTTTCACCATTTTTAAGAATTTTTTCTCTGGGGTGGCTCAGTCAGTTAAGCGTCCAATTCTTGATAATCAGCTCAGGTCTTGATCTCATGGTCATGAGTTCAAGCCATGCTGTGCTCCGTGATGACCATGAAGCCTACTTTAAAAAAAAAAACAACAACTTTTTTTTAGATGACTATAGGTATAAAACAAGTCCTAGAACAAAACATATTTAGACTGTGCTTTTAAGAAAAAAGGAAAAAGTATGAAAAAAAGACTGGAAGGAAATAGGTGTTATTACCGTGTTGTGGGGTCATCCTTACTCCTGCCCCCCCATATTTTCTATAGCGAGGAGTCAAATCTTTTATTTTTTTCAAATCAGAAATTTTGTATTTAGCCATATATTGAGGAAATGTTGATTTTCATCCAGAAATTCTAAAAACATTTCATTTATTTGACCTTTTAAAGATTGGTGAACAATATTGCAGCATTTTCTTGCCCTTACATTCTCTTCTGTTTAATCTAAAACAATTTCCCCCACAATAATTTAGTTGTATATAACACTTCGTGACTCATTTCTTCCGGGGAACATTTATTGTGGTGGTAGTTAATGGCATAATTACTAATTGGCTTATTAAAAGAATGCAAGGGAGAGTTGCAAGAACAGGTAGTAATAGGAAAATATTAAAGGAGAAAATGAAAGGAAAAGAGACCCTTGTAAACAGCATTAGATAGGGGTGGACAGTAATTATTTAACAGTCAAGTAGGGGGTTGATGAGATTACTCTTTTAGCAAAAGTGTATTGGAAGGGGAATATTCGGAAAAAATAGTTGTTTCATTAAATTTGTAACATTGAGTATTATTTTTTCTAGGTTGTATAGTTATCAGTAAGAATAATAGATTTAAAAAGTACAAAGGATACCTGGCTTTGAACCACTTTCTATAAATCACTTGCTATTCATAACATTTTTCTTCTTCAGACTTTGGTTTGATGAATTAATTGGCCTTTGGGTTTCAGTGCAAAATCTCCCACAGTGGGAGGGGGTGAGTATCCTTTTTTTTTCCTTCTATACTATCAGATCATTGGATAAGTAACTTCAGTTCCTTAGAATTGGCTATTGGCAATGATGTAATTGGGGTTTTTTTGTTTGTTTTTAAATTCTGTTTGCTGTTTTCTAACAGAAACAGACACTTGTTTTTACCAATGTCTAGAAGCATGTGCATGTATTCTGAAATGCATGAAATGTAAGACTGTTTGCTTTTGTACCTTCACTAGCATGTTGTTAGAAACATTGTGGATGTTTTCTTTATGCTTATTAGATTAAAATGTCTTCTGTTTGCTTTGTGAATCATGCTTTGTCATTTACCTCTTAGTAAGCATTTCAGCTACAGTTGATTTTAAATGGGTGACAAGAATCAAAACTGAAATTTGGAGATTTTTGAAAAAGGAGCCATAAACCTATATTAAATTAAGTTTGTGTTAATGATAATAGCTGAAACAACAAATGGATAAGGTGTGTGACTGATACTTATTAACAACAGGTGTATTTACTTAATTGTCTTTCTTTTTTGTTTACTTTCAGCAACTAGTAAATCTCTTTGCTCGATTGGCTACAGATAATATAGGGTACATAGATTGGGATCCATATGTACCAAAGGTAATGGAGAACATTTGAGGATGCAACATACAGTAGTACTGATACCATTTGTGTCTTTAAGAAGTGTGTTTTGTATGCTAGTTGCTAAATTTTTTTTGACCACTCTGTAAAAACATAAAGAGTATCGGAATAGATCATTTATTTTCAAAAATTAATTGGATCATATTAAGGTATTAGAAATGTGTGATTTTTGTCTTGCCTATGTAGGACATGAAATAGAAGTTTCAGAGCGAGTAATTTAGAAAGTACGAAGTATATTATTCAGGGGGTCTTAGATTCATACCTTCCAACAAGTTTTCGGTATTGTATTTGATTGCTATTGTAGAGTGTTCTCCACTTTTTATATTGCATTTTCCTCAAGTAAATAAAACTAGAGTGTCTCTAGTTGCAGTGTTCTTAACATTGCATCTTCCATATTGTTTTAGCTGCAGTAAGTTCAAAAGGGCTTGCACGGGGCATGCAGGTGATTCTGATGCACACCTTGACAGAGCAGGGCTTCAGAGCAGCAGAAGTTAAACCTTCTGTTTACCTATGCTGTCCAGTGGAAACTAAGGAGGAAAAGTAATTTTCTCCCATCTTTGGGCTCTGAAATGTTACTAATGACAGGTTTTAAATATAAATTATTAAAATGCAATTATTTAAATGCCAGATTAAAATGCAAATTCTTAGGAAAAAATGAAATCGTTGTTAGAATTTTGAAAGGGAAAATAACCCACTAGAAGATAAGTATTTGCATTTATATCTCATTTGTTTGTTTACGGGTGGGTACATGCATACAGCTGCTTCAGATTCATGCCCCTGTGACCTCATTCTCATTTAAAAAAAAGCAGATAGGGGTGCCTGGCTGGCTTAGTTGTTAGAGCATGTGGCTCTTGACCTCAGGGTCATGAGTTGGAGTCCCACGTTGGATGTAGTTACTTAAATAAATAAACTTTAAAAATATAATGAAGTATTTTAAAAAGTAGATACCTCTGTAAATTTTATGGAATATAGCAATATATAAAACTACCAAACAGTATGTAATTTTGCTTAAAAACTGATCCAATGAGAATACATCCACTAACACTAATACATATCACTTCAGTTATTTAAGGAGTTACTTAACACCTATAAATATTTATTCTTAATTCTTTTTTTCTTTTGAAAGATATTTACAAGAATTCTGAGAAGCTTGAACCTCCCAGTGGGAAGCAGTCAAGTGTTAGTCCCAAGATTTTTAACAAATGCTTATGATATAGGACATGCTGTAATATGGATCACCGCTATGATGGTTTGTAACACATTAGCTCATCTAAATTTTGTGTTAACCATACAAAAATTCTGTATAATTACATAAGGCTATATTAGTGTCCTAGTTGATCATCTGATTCTTCAATATTTTTTGATGTAGTAAGCTAATGTTTATCAGACCCAGAATGTAGCCATAACACACCATTTATAAATCTCTCTAGCCAATGAATCCTAAAAATAGAGTCAAAGTTTAGAATTTTAAGAGATTCAGAATGTCTAACAGTCTTACAGATCAAGGACCAGACTCACAGATAAAAGGTCAAGATCATGATAAATATAGGGTTAGAACTCAAGGTTTTGCATATTCTCAGTACTGACGCATTCAGTGTTGAAGATTACACTGATCACAAAGCTAATTACACAAAGTAATCTTGGTGAAGGGAGAAGTATGAAGGATTACTTTAATGACATCCTTGAAGGAAAGTAAGAATATATCCACATGCTTAGATTTCATTGGCCTCTTCCAAGTAAGAATATTAAAACAATTTCATACTATAATTTTCTAGATTGTCATTCATTGTGTTACTACAGCTGTTTCTTCTTAAAATTATTATTCTGTGCTTAATATTTTTTCCTAGGTTGTTTGGTTGTGTTTTTTTCTGTGGACAAGGCAGGATAGTTGTGACAAGTTTAACTCTTAAATTTTATTTTTAGATTAAAAAGAGAAATTCAGGGGCATCGGGGTGGCTCAGTCAGTCATAGCTTGAGGGATCGAGCCCCATGTTGGGCTTTGTGCTGACATTCAGAGCCTGGAGCCTGCTTCGGATTCTGTGCCCCCCCCCCCTCGCTGCCCCTCCCTTGTTCATGATCTCGATCTCTCTCTCTCTCAGAAATCAGAGATTTTAATGTTTTTAAACATTAAAAAAAATTTTTAAAGAAATTCATTCACCCCATTTTTGTGATTTAATTATTAAACAGGAAAATCTTATTTTCTTTCTAGTACTCTGTAAGAACAAAAACATCTGATGTTTACTATCTTACATTAGCAGTTCTTTTTTTAGGAGCCACAGAATTATATCATGATTAGTATCAGCCTAATTTTAGTTAATGTTGCTGTTCTTTCTCATACAGATTTTCCCATTGAGAGCTTTATTTTGTGTTAAATATGAATATTGGATATAATAAAAAGTGCTAATTATGCTAGGATTTTGAAATTTTTGTTGGTTTTTTTTTTTTTTTTTTTTTTTTTTTTTTTTTTTTTTTTTTTTTTTTTTTTTTTTTTTTTTTTTTTTTTGCTATGGAATTATTATGGTCTCTTTAGTAGTTGACTTATTCTAAATTGGGAACATGAACATGGATTTCATTTCAGCAGGAAAACATGTTCCTCAAACAATTTGACAGTTTACCCTAAGTCTATGCTGCTTCTTGAAAGATCATCTTGAGAGAGAGAGAGAAGGTTTTAAAACCAAGTTGTAGTTCTTTATCCTGAGGCCTGTTCAGCTTGATAAGATTGAATGCTTTTTTCATCATTTTCCCCCCAGGTCATATTGTTGTTTGATGTGTTTGTTTGGGCCATAGATTAAGAAAAAACTATTTTTCCTTTGAGTCAAAATGTGGTCAAATAATCACAGGTTTAGTCATTTGAAACATTTAGGAATAATAATAATAAATTATTTGAATCCATTTATGTAAATCCCATATCTTTATTTCCTGCAATAAGAAATTCACTCCTCAGATTTTTTAAGGAACACTTTTCATGCCTGATGTTAGCACTCTTGGTTATTTTAAGACTCTTTTAGTGACAAAGTTATTTCACTGCAGAAGAGTAAAATATGCTGGTATCCTAAATTGAAAGATGTCTTTGGAGTTATCTAAGTTGGTTTCAGTAGGTTGACCTTACTTTTAGTAGAGTGTTTTGAATTTAGGATTGTGGGAAGTTTACTGGTGAATTGTATTTGGCTCTTATTTAGAGGTACAATTGTTTTTTCTCGTCAAGATGGATATGCACCATGTTACAGAGTTCTGTGTAGACTTGGGCCTCTTGACACTCTTCAATTTTCCAGGGTCCTGAGGGTACTGATATTTTTATTCTTTTGTCTGAATAGGGTGGACCAAGTAAGCTAGTACAGAAACACTTGGCTGGTTTGTTTAACAGCATCACATCTTTTTACCACCCTTCAAATAATGGGCGCTGGCTGGTGAGTATGTTCATTTTTTATTGGAGGGTTTGGAACTTTTTAAAGATAAGGTCACACATAACTATTGCCTATTGTGCAACCTAAAATACAATTTCTGTCCTTCATATAAGTATAACCTTTGGCTATATGTAGCTGATTAAGTTCAGATTAAGATATTGTATTCGTAGAACATTAAAATAACACTGGTTAGGTAACTGGTGACAAAATGTCGCATTCTGGTAATAGAAAGTAGTGTTAGTTGTGGGTTTTGGTTTTTGGATTTTGTTTTCTTTCCACATTGCCTGGTAAAAATGGTTTTTCACGTAATAGAAGATTCATTTGGTGCTAAAATTAAAATTGACATTTGAGGGGCACCTGGGTGGCTCAGTTGGTTAAGTGTTCAACTCTTGATTTCAGCTCAGGTCATGATCTCACTGTTCATGAGTTTGAGCCTAGGAGCCCCGCATCAGGCTCTGCACCAGCAGCATGGAGCCTGCTTGGAATTCTCTGTCTACTGTCTCACTTCCATCCCCTGCTCGTGCTTGCTCTCTCTCAAAAATAAATTTTATTGAAAAAAAAATAAAATTGGCACTGGAAACATATTTATTATTATTAGTAATTAGTTTATAATAGTATTTTTTTCTAGTTATGCTGCGTAGGTCTTTGTAATAGATAGTAAGAGCTGTAATTTTAAGACATTTTACTTGGAGCATAGAAAGGAACCATAACTATCTGTGCAGGAAATCGAACCTACCTTGGACTTTTTGCTTCTGTGTCCCCAGAACAAGTTAATGAAACTACTTCAGCGGTTGCCAAACAGTGTTGTTAGAAGATTACATCGTGAAAGATACAAGAAGCCTTCTTGGTTAACTCCCGTGCCTGATAGCCATAAGCTTACTGATCAAGATGTTACAGACTTTGTACGATGCATTATTCAACCTGTCCTCTTGGCTATGTTTAGCAAAACTGGTAGTTTAGAAGCAGCCCAGGCTCTGCAGAATCTTGCACTCATGAGACCTGAATTAGTAATACCCCCTGTACTTGAAAGGTAAGTGTCGCTTTACATGTTTGGTTAAAGCCATCGGCGGCTGTTCTGGTTATCTCTTGCTTCTACTCTTCTGTTCTGCTTAGATGTCTTTTCTGTGGCTTCTGTTTTGCTCTCTTGCTACTTGTTCCTAGAGGAGAAGCAAGGCATTTTAACCTAATGATTGGTAGCTTGATAAAGGTTCACTGAAGAGAAAAGAAAATTGATACTCAATAGATAAAATATTTTTGGTTTAGTGGCACATTTTAGTTTCTTAAGTTTGTGCTCATAAAGTAAGGATGCCTGGTGGGCTCAGTCAATGGAGCGTGTGACTCTTGATCTCAGGGTTGTGAGTCCAAGCCCCAAGTTGAGTACAGAGGTTACTTAAAGTTGTTTTAGAAAGCAAGCAAGTAAGCAAGCTCTGGCTGCTTTTACATCAAAGTACAAGTGTCACTAAATATTGAGAACATGGCAGCGAAAGTGATTTTGGGTTTCTTTTCTTTCTTAGAATCAATGGTACAGAAGAAAATTTGACTATCTTTATTGTTTTCGTGTATTAAATAATCTTACGGGTTCATGAGTTTGCACAATGATTTCATGGGTTCGTGAGTTTGAGCTCCACATTGGGCTCTGTGCTGTCAGTGCACAGCCTGCTTCAGATTCTGCTTCAAGTCATCTGTCTACCCCCCTCTCATCCCTCTCCCACTCGTGCTCTCTCTCTCTTTCAAAAAGAAACATTTAAAAAAAAAAAGATCTTGACCAAAATGGATCTCCACTATTTATAAATTTTAGTTGCTCATATTTTCTTGCCCTGTCCTTATTACCATAAATATTCAAGTTTTACCTCATTTTCCAAACCTCTCCCTTTTTTGTGTACACTTTGTGGGCACTGAAACTCTCCCAGTATCTATAACTAAATTTGGAAATTGAATAGGGAAATTAGGCCCTTTATACTCTGTCTCAATCCCCAATATTCTTTGCACTCTGGCCTCCATGTGGTAGCGATGCTAATACTTCAGTGGCCAGTCCCTTGATGTCTCTTATTGAGGAAAGACATACCCTAAGAAGGGACTTCAGTTGTTTGCGTAGCTAAAATACTGAAGAAAAGTCCTTTAAAAAGCAAAAATGTAGAAAATAAATTTTAGGCACTTGGTTTTAGATCTCCTCTGTTAAAGAGTTGGTGTGTTTTCTTCATCATTTAAAGTAAGCATAGGTTTGTTCATTTTTTTACCCTTATTACAAATCCTCTTTTTTTCTACTTATAATGAAATTTCCCTTATTATTTACTTTTTCTGTATAAGAGGAATTTTAAATGACTGCATTTTACACTTTTTCCCCCTATAGGATAGATTCTCAGAATGAAATGACTTGTCAAAGAGTGAATGTTCTTGCCTTGTATTTTACTTACTGATCAAAGACTGTATTTATATTATTCTCCCTTGTTCATGCATTCTAGTGTCAGGAATCTTATACTACGTATCTAGACCAGATTTCCAATTTTAAAATACCAGTCTTATAAAAAGTATAAAATAGGAGAGATTGTTTTTCCAATAAAACAGAAGTGTGGAATAATTATCACTTGCTCTTCTTGAATTCTGATAAATCACTGACCATTAGATTAGATGCAATCCTGTTGGAATGTGGAAGTGGATTCAGGTGGCTGAAATAATGCCAAATCTTGCCAGTTAATGTTCTTTTTCACTGTGAAATATGCATGGAGAACCGTGTGGAGGTACCTTTCCTTTATGTGTGTGATTCTGTTAACTTTAAGAGAGAATACTCACTCAGGATTCTGCTAGCTACCAGCCTTAAAGCCAACATTGTAGTAGTTAATGAATTTGGTAGATTTAATGTATTGTGCCTGTTTATCTATGACAATCTTTTCTTTCTTTCTTTCTTTCTTTCTTTCTTTCTTTCTTTCTTTCTTTCTTTCTTTCTTTCTTTCTTTCTTTTTTTTTTTTTAATTCTGTTTTCAACTGTAGAACATATCCTGCACTGGAGACTTTAACAGAACCTCACCAGCTCACAGCTACTTTAAGTTGTGTAATTGGAGTGGCCCGCAGTTTAGTATCAGGGGGCAGATGGTTTCCTGAAGGTCCAACACACATGCTACCTCTGTTGATGAGAGCATTGCCTGGGGTGGATCCAAATGACTTCAGTAAATGCATGGTAAGCATATTTATCATCTGTTTTGTGTCTGAGTTCTAATTGTGTAAGTAGGCATCCTGTTAAGTGTTGTTCAAATACTCTTTAGAAGATAGTTCAGTGTAAAATTTGTTAATGCTGAAAGAGTTATATCTGTAGATGCCCAAGTTTAGATCTGTGGATGGTTAGTGAACTGTATGTCATCCTTCGTAAGTAATGTGCCATAGCTTGGATACATTTAATGATCATAGGATGTTTTCAAAGCTCGTTATAGGTTTACTTTTTTCCTTAAGTGGAGATACTAAAAATCTTAGCATATGATTATTTGTACTTCCCTTGTCTGTAGTGGTGACAAGGGGGGATGATAACAGCTACTTGGTGCAAAATGCCAGGTCCCATTTATACACACCTCTCCTGCCCTAGGATGTTGGCTTACCTTCCCTCTTCCCCCATCTGTAGCTTTTGCTTCACCATTTTCTATTTCTCCTTAGGTAATGTTGCATCTTTGGGTGGGGGGCAAAGCTAACTTTTCATTGACAGAGAGTTGGAGAATGTTGTGCTTAAACCTAATAAATAACTATGAAAATAAATTTAGTATAACTTCGTTACTAAAATAACAACTCCTTAATCATAAACTTTAAATGTTCATTTCTAAGTGAAAAATTTCCAGGAATATTATTGTGGTATTTCCCTTAAGACCATTTATTTGGGTACTTTTTTATTGTAGCTGATAGTACACTTGTATTTTTTATTAGAATTACATAATTATTGTTAAACTTTTTGCATCTTCCCACAGATCACATTCCAGTTTATAGCAACATTTTCCACTCTGGTGCCTTTAGTAGATTGTTCATCTGTACTACAAGAAAGAAATGACCTCACAGAGGTAAGAATGCTTACTGGTTGTAACAGAATTGGTTAACTGAGTTGTAACTCTTACTGTAAATACATTGTAATATTTGATAGCTTAAATACCAGCAGTTTTAAATTAGTATTTTGTGGGGTACCTGAGTGACTCAAGTCCGTTAAGTGAGAGACACACAATCTGAAGCTGCCTCCAGGCTTTGATCTGTCAGCACAGAGCCCAGCAAGAGGCTCGAACCCATGAACCCTGAGATCATGACCTGAGCCGAAGTCGGATGCTTAACTGACTGGAGCTATACAGGCGCCCCAGAAAATAGGCTGTTTTTGTAAACAACTGACATCTAGAGGTGTGTTTCAGTTTTTTGTCACTTTTAATTTTCTGTTGAGCAAAGGTAGTAGTGGGGGGTTTTTTGTTGTTGTTTGGTGGTTTGGGTTTTTTGTTTTTGTTTTGTTTTAGCTTAGGAATAAATTTGTTGAGGGAATTGACATCTAGTGAACAGACATTTTTTTCATTCTGACTGGTTCTTTTAGAACTGTTTTCTTTATTTGTAGGTGTGTTTCTACTTGAATTTGAATATTCAAGTAGTAAGAGATGATCCTTTACATATACACTAGGAGTTTCAAAACTGTAGTTGATGATAAAGATGGCGATTTGACTTCTGTTTTGGGCCCTTATAAAATATGCTAATTGCTTCTTATTTTGGTTCCTGGGAAGTAGTGGATTGGGTTTTCCTTTCTTTTTTTTTTCTTTTAAATTTTTTTTTAATGTGTTTTATTTATTTCTGAGAGAGAGAGAGAGAGAGCGTGAGCAGGGGAGGGTCGATCGGAAGAGGACACGGCTGAANTGAAACAGGCTCCAGGCTCTGAGCTAGCTGTCAGCACAGAGCCTGACGTGGGGCTCGAACCCACGAACCGTGAGATCATGACCTGAGCTGAAGTCGGACGTTTAACTGACTGAGCCACCCAGACGCCCTGGGATTGGGTTTTTCTAAATTGATATGTGGTAATGGTACTATTTCTCACCATACTCAGTATAATAATACAGTGTTAAATATATTTTGTAGACCACAATTGAGTTTTATTAGTTCTGAGAGGAAAAAAAACAAAAAACCAAAGGCTATTTTAATTTTTCTCCACGTTGAAATGTCATAGGTGGAACGAGAACTTTGTTCAGCCACAGCTGAATTTGAGGATTTTGTCTTACAGTTTATGGACAGGTGAGTTATGTGCTCCAGACCCACCCTTTATTAGACATTGAAAGAAATGATTGTCTTGTCCAGACCACTGTCATGGGACCGAGCTTCTGAAGTTATAAAAGGACAAGTGATGTGTGTGAACCATGCACAGATTGAATAGCTGTCATTTGAATAGTCATGACAATGGAGGTTTATCGAGTTATCAAAAATGTTAAACTAGTTTTTAGTTGCTAAAATTATCCTTTCTTTGGATTATTTAGATGTTTTGGACTTATAGAAAGTAGCACATTGGAGCAAACAAGAGAAGAGACAGAAACTGAGAAAATGACTCACTTGGAGAGTTTGGTCGAATTAGGTCTGTCTTCTACATTTAGTACAATCCTCACACAATGTTCCAAAGAAATATTTATGGTAAGAGTCTCATTGCTGCAAAAATATTAAATCCCAGTCTTGTAGTTTTCTTTGTTGTTTTAAAAATTGAGCTTCAACTTACTTTAAATAGTATATCATGCCATTTATCCTTGGTTTCATACTAAAATTTGAAAAAGATGAACAGTTGATTCTCATTATATTTGCAGATTTCATATTTGCAAATGCATCTGCTTGCTAGAAAATTTATTCGTAATCCCAAAATCTGTACTCAGTGCTCTTATGGAGATGTGTGAATGTGGCAAACTGAGGTTGAATAACGTAACACTGCCTTCTTGTTTCAGCTCTAATACTGTAAGCAAACTTTATGTCTATCTACCTATATTTTTATTTATTTTAAAGTTTGTTTATTTTGAGTGAGATAGGGCATGAGCAAGGGAGGGACAGGGAGAGAGGGAGAATCCCAAGCAGGCTCCATGTGGTCAGTGCCAGAGCCCAGCGTAGGGCTGGAACTCATGAACTGTGAGATCATAACCCGAGCTGAAATCAAGAGTTGGATGCTTACCCAGCTGAGCCACCCAGGCACCCTTGCAAGTTTTATGTCTATTTAATGCCAGGTTTTCACATTTTGCTCTTTTTCTTGGTGATTTTGTGGTTTAAAATGGCCAAGAGTAGTGCTGCAGTACTGTCTAGTGTACTCACTACACTGAGTGTAAGAGAGTATGATGTGCCTCACCGAAAATAACATGTTTTAGATAAGCTTTCTTTGGGCATGGGTTATAGTGCCCTTGGCTGAGTTCACTGTCAGAGAATGAACAATATATTAGATACACATAAAACAAAATTTTATATTTATCAGTTGATGAAAACCAGAAATTTGTTAGTAACTTAAATCCTGCATTTCCTTTAGGAACAGTGATTCAGTATTTGCTATCAGCAACTTTATAGAGTATATTACATATAACAAGGATCGACTGCATTTTTTTAATCAGTTAAATAGTGTTTGGGAGGAAAGTTTTGGAAATCGTTTATGCCATCACATGATAGAAATTAAATCCCAACTATAAATATCTGTCAAACTGCAGGGGCACCTAGGTGGCTCAGTTGAACATCTGTGGAACGTCTCACTTGGTATCACCTCAGGTCAAGATCTTACAGTTGTGAGCTATGCAGAGCCTGCTTGGGATTCTCTCTTTCTGCCCTCCCTCCTGCTTGCACTGTCTCTCTCTGTTTCAAAATAAATGAATGAACTTTAAAAAAAAAATCTCGCCAACTCTAATGAGTGGGAGTTGGTGTGTCTTCACAAGACATTCTGTAAACATTCACCTTCATTATTGGTTGACCCATGTTATGTACAGTGTGGTCTTTAAGACCAGACTTTACTTCCAATCCTGTTTCATCTCCCTTCATCTGAGATTATGACTGTTCAGTGTGTTTATCCTGGATAAAAGCTAAACTGCTTTACAGATGCATGAAATATTTACTGAGATTATGTTAGTATAGAAATTAATGTAAATTATCTCATTTAACCAAAATCTTTTAAAAGGAGTTGTGAGTTAATGATCCTGAAAATTATAAATGTCTAGAGCCCATTCTTTCATTCAGCAGTTAAGTTGAAATTCTGTGACGTGTTTGTAAAATTAGACTGCCTCAGGTCTTTTAGAGTAGATAAATGTTTATAGTTTGTACTTGTCACAATGACAAATACTTAAATATTAAGTACTACAAAAAATTGCCTTATTTATGTTGGATTAGCCAACAAGATAATTGCATTTGCTGTAGTTTTTAATATTTTTTTAAATATTTCTGTAGCAAATAAAATCTTGTGCCTTGAAATGTTTTGTTCACATTAGGGTTTTATGTAAAGATTGTTCATAGATCTTGCTGTTAAAGCGATAAGCAAATCTTTATAAAATTCAGATGGTTAAATATCCTACATGGTTATTTTTAGAGTCTGAGTGTCATTTTCTTTTATGGTTCATAAGATGTTTAAATTATCGTAAAAATGTTGGTAAGATATTCTCATTTCTTACGTATCTTAATAGGTCGCCCTTCAGAAAGTTTTTAATTTTTCTATTTCACATATATTTGAAACAAGAGTAGCGGGCCGCATGGTGGCAGACATGTGCCGTGCTGCTGTAAAGGTGAGTTTGGTTTTTTTGGATGAATTAATGTGTCAGTAATCAGCAGGTTTATATGGTTAATTATTTTGAGACATGTTTGTTATACTTAAAAGGTCTTGTTCTTGCAGTAGCAGCTTACAATCCTTATTTGCCTCTGAAAATAGTGTTTGGGTATATACATTGTGAGTGATTATTTGTGGCCTTCCAGAAAACTTACTTATACAAATATGTTTTCAGTGCTGCCCAGAGGAGTCATTGAAGTTATTTGTTCCTCACTGCTGCAGTGTTATAACTCAGCTTACAATGAGTAAGTCATAATGTTACTATGCTGTATTTACAGTTTTAGGTGAATTTTGTCTTGCTTTGTTTTGGTTTCTTGCTTCTTGAACCCTGTTGATGAAAACCGGTTCTGTAAGCTCAAGAATCATTAAATTAAATTTTGTAGTTTGGGGCAGGGATTGCTCGAATTAAAGTTTCATTCAGGTGACAGCTTAGAAATTTTACTTTATTAAATTAATATTTTCATATACACAAGAACCATTGAGAGGTTGCCATAAAGAAATACTAGTTATTTTGTGAGATCTGAAGGAGCAGGAGTCCCAATTGGTGTGTTTATTTTCTCGCAAATTGAGTTTTTACCTCCTCTGGAATAAGTTCAGCTTCATGAGAAAGGAATGAAAAGTCTCTCAAAAAGAGACTCTTCTCAGCTGTTAGAGACACTAAAGACAAATAGTAAAAAATGGTCATTTAGGTTGGATACATGGTTCTTTTTCCTTGATACTGTTCTGCCATTTTTAGACGATGATGTGTTAAATGAAGAAGAGCTAGATAAGGAGCTGCTATGGAATCTTCAGCTTTTGTCGGAGGTATTGTAAGTCTTTGGAATAAATGTTAGTATGCAGATATTGGCTTAGTTTTAGAATTTCAGTTTTGTTTTAAATTGACATAAAAATACGAAAAGTCTTAAAGTTTAGAAATTTTTTGATATGGCCACAAAAGTCAGATAATATCATTTTCTTGTTATCAAAGGGGTGTGATATTTGTCGATGACTTCCCATGTGCAGCACTCAACTTTTTGCTAATTAATTCTGATATTAATAACTTCCATTGAAAATGTTACCATTTTGGTGATTATTCCCCTCCTCCTCCCAATCTGCATTCTCAATTTGGCTCTCAGTGACACCTCCTTTTCCTTTATGGTTTAGTTTACCAGTGAACAGAGAACTAAATTAAGTTTTGTCTCTTTGAGGAGATAGACCCTTTGTTGTTGTTGTTGTTCTTATGAATTGTATCTACAAGTAATTAGTTTTCTAATTCTCATTAATATATAAGAAAAGCATATACATATATATGAAAAAATAGTGTTTTTTTTGCAAATTTCTTATTGTTTCTTATCAGTTTTCAGTAGATTTTATTAAGATTTCCAGGCAGAAAATAAAATTCATTTACAAATGATGATTTACCATTTCCTTTCCAATAATTATACATCCTTAAAAATTATCTTTTAATTAATTTAATTAATTAATTTACATCCAAGTTAGTTAGCATATAGTGCAACAGTGATTTCAGGAGTAGTTTCCTTAATGCCCCTCACCCATTTAACCCATCCTCCCTCCCTCAACCCCTCCAGCAACCCTCTGTTTGTTCTCTATATTTAAGAGTCTCTTATGTTTTGTCTCCCTTCTTGTTTTTATATTAATTTTGCTCCCTTCCCTTATGGTCATCTGTTTTCTATCTTAAGGTCCTCATATGAGTGAAGTCATATGATATTTGTCTTTCTCTGACTGACTAATCTCACTTAGCATAATACACCCTAGTTCCATCCACGTAGTTGCAAATGGCAAGATTCCATTCTCTTTGATTGCCTAGTAATTCTCCATTGTGTATATATGCCCCATCTTCTTTATCCATTCATCCATCGATGGACATTTGGGCTCTTTCCATACTTCGGCTATTGTCGATAGCACTGCTATGAACTTTGGGATGCATGTGCCCCTTTGAAACAGCACACCTGTATCCCTTGGATACATACCTAGTAGTGCAATTGCTGGGTCGCAGGGTAGTTCTAGTTTTAATTTTTTGAGGAACCAAGGAGATAGACTCTTTGGGAAGAGATGGTACTATGGCACATGAAAGCCTGAATTCAGAGAATGTATTTTGATCTTAAAAAAGAATTGTTAGAATATACTTAAAATGACAGTCCTAAAATGAATTAAAGTCATTTGAAGAGACACTGTTACTGTTTTAGGCAAATTTAGTAGCAGCTAAACATTGTCCATTGCATTAATTATTGATTCTTCATCTTTTCACTAAAATGTCTTGAATGTCTTTTAGATTACTCGAGTAGATGGGAAGAAGTTGCTTCTTTATAGGGAGCAGCTTGTAAAGATTCTCCAAAGAACTCTACACCTGACCTGTAAGCAAGGCTACACTCTGTCTTGTAACCTTCTGCACCACCTCCTTCGCTCTACGACGCTCATCTATCCCACCGAGTACTGCAGTGTGCCAGGTGGCTTCGACAAGCCTCCTTCTGAATACTTTCCTATCAAGGCAGGTGTTGTCAGTAATCAAGATTTCAAGTGGTTTTTCTAAGGATTCAAAGTTGGGGGTGGAGGGGGGTTAGGTATAGACAGGTATCACTTCTTTATTTTTAAAGTAGACTATTAAGATTATTACTGGAATGTTTTAAACTTGGAAAGTACAACATAGTGCTGGAACAGCCTAGTTTTCTTCTTCTCTGTTTGTATATGAAGTGAGTTGGTTTGCTGTTTGTAACCTCTAATTTTATTGAGGAACTCAGTGGACATACATAAACTCACTGTTGGCTCTTGGAGTAAACTCCCATTTGAGTGGCTCTTCAGGGAGACCTTCTGGACTAATAATCAAGAGAGTTAAGATGTTTTCATGCCCTTTTTTGTGCATTTTTGGCTACCTTAGGTTTGGATTACTTTCATTTTCTGGAAGACCTTTTACGTTACACTTGTGTATATATTCTTTTCTCAACTTTTCAACTTGCTAAATATATGCTATTCTTTTCTAGGACTGGGGTAAACCAGGGGACTTGTGGAATCTGGGCATCCAGTGGCATGTTCCTTCTTCAGAGGAAGTGGCTTTTGCCTTCTATCTTTTGGACTCCTTTCTTCAGCCTGAGCTCATCAAACTCCAGCACTGTGGTGATGGTGAACTTGAAATGTCTAGGTTAGTTTTCTTTCATAATCAGTGACTCTTACATGGTTGCAGACTAAAAAAGTCTTTTTGTGCCTTCCCCTTTCTCCATAGCGTATCTGATAGATTTATTTTCAGTGTGTGTTTGTATCTGCCATAAATGTAATTAGTGAACTATTTAATATAAAGGGTGGTGTAACAGATTTCTTCATGACATTTAAACCTTTTAAATAGAAAAACTTGGGGTTTTTCTAGTTGGCTTTTTGTGATTTCTACTTAGCAGTTTAGTGCATTTTTGGGGAAATGTATGGAAATGCCTGGTTTTCTAGGTTCAGATTAGATGTTTTTTAGTTTTTTTTTCCCTGTGATTTTTATTATTGACATTAACATTACTTAGTGAAATATCTCTATGAGACTTTTTTTCTTTCCCAAGAGGCTTTAACAAGAAACAATTAAGATCATTAGACTTTTATAGTTTAAATCTTTTAAAGTTCCTAAAATAATAATAAAGTTACTATGTGTCAAATATCAGGAAATTTCAATAAACAAATTCAGTAGGAATGGAAAAGGAAAGAAGTATGATTGATGTCTGAACTGTTTTTTGTAGTAAATGTGTAGCTAATCCATTTTCGAAAGATGAAATATTCTGGGAGATCTTCTGTAACACTGTTTTCCCTTTTTGTTAGTGGTAGTGCCCTTCGGGTAAACAGGTGATTGCATGCAGAATTGATTCACAAAGGGTAATCAGTTGCTGTTACTTGTAATTATTTAGAGCCTGTTTAATTGTAAGCAGGTCTCTATTACTAGTAAATACTTGTTTAATTACCTTGTATTATTAAGTGGGCCTTAAGACATTTGTTAGTCTTAATATTGTATATCTCCACTTAAGGTTCTTGTACTCCATCCTAGACTCTAGAAGTCCTCTTATTAGAAAGGGACTTGGAGTCTCCTAAAATATGAAAATAACCTTTTGTCTTTTCCAGAGATGATATTCTACAGAGTCTGACTATAGTGCACAACTGTTTAATTGGCTCAGGAAACCTCCTACCTCCACTGAAAGGAGAGCCAGTTACTAACTTGTAAGTAAAAATAACTACTTTACATATTCTGCTATTGCCATTTGGCATATGTTTTAATTCTAAGTCACAAAACAAGTCATTGGTTTTGTTATTGGTGGTGTTTCTGTATCACTTTAACCATTTTGTCATTGTTAGGCCAAAATACCTGAGGCAGAACTTAGGTCTGTAAGCTCTAAGGCTTTATTCAGTTTTTTATATGATAACCAGCACAGGGTAATTTTCATTGTTACTCAGTTTAAAAATATTGATGATACCAAGTTCATCCTTTAGTTTCCGATTTAAGATAAATGCTCTTTTTAAGAAAATTCCTTTTTTTTGGTCAGTATTCACTGTTCATTAAAGATTTAACTGGAAAAATCTGCGTGTTTTTACATAAAAATTTGTTGTGTTATTTTGAGCTTTTAAATTCTAAGTTGCTTTTCTGAACTTAAGTGCTTTTCAGGCTACAACTATTGTGAATGAATGTCTTTATTTAGTCCATTGTTAGTGCAACCATGTAAATTGAAAAAATTGAGTTTAAATGAAATCAGTAATATCTAACTCTAGCTCAGTTAGGTATTAAGTAGATGGATGCTAGTTTCAGATCTAGTTTCATTATACTGCCTTAGATCATTTTCTCTCAACATCAACATCTCATTGCTGAGCCAGTTCATGAAAATCACATAAAAACAAGTAAGTAACCCCTGCCCCTCAAAAAACACAAAGGGAGCAATTTGTTCATTTGCAGCAAAAATCTTAAAACACTTCCAGGAGTGATTTTAAAACGTGGCTTGCTTATGTTTCACATATTTTGTATAATCATTGTTTGGAGTCCTGTTTCTCATGATTTCCATTTAATTTCCTCTAAAAACTGTTTCTAGGCATTGAACTTTAGATTGCTCATTAGATTTAAGAGGGAGAAGTAGGGTCATCTCAGGTAAGGAAATCTGTTTTAAGTTTGTTGAGGAATTTGCTGAGTTCTTTTAAAGCTTTTTGGTTTTCATCAGTATTATAGGTTGATCTAGGGGCAGTTTTACCAAAATTCATTTTTGCTAAGAAATTGATTTTAAACAATTTTTAAAAATGAGAGACCTACAGAAATGGTTTTAATTTTCCTGATGATCTTAACACTGTGAAATAGAGTAAGAATTTAACTCTTATGGCATACTAAAACCCTATTTCATATATAATAGATTAATTACGTCAGTAAATTTAGTTCTTCTATAATGTGTTGACATTGAGAAGTATAATAATTTAATCCAATAATTTATCTAAGAGCAAAAGCATGTATCTTCTGTATATGTGCTTAGAAGATTTTTAGTGTTCAGTTATCCTTAGGATGCACTGCTGAAGGGTCCAGTCATGAGACTGACAGGTTTCTGTTGCAGTTCATATCAGCAGGCACATGTGCTGTGTGCAGTCATAGTGAATTGAAGCAAGGTCTTTATTCTTTGAACTAAATGCACATCAGGCCAGATGTTCCTTTTTTGGTTATGATAAAACCAGTTAGGTTTGTCGTAATGAAATGCATTTTCAATAAGCAGAAGAATACCAAGTTAAAAACATTTTATGAATGCCATGGAATAGATATAAGTAGACCATTTTCCTATATTATAAGCTTTAAAATTGATCCTGAGCATCTTTATAGGTTTCTCCCAGAAAAATTAAGAAGGAAAGATAATTTAAACTGTAAAGTTTTGTGTTTCAAAATTTTCACTTTCAGAGTGAAAATTTAATATGAAAAAGTAATAAAAATTATACTTAGTATAAATATGAAATTTTCTGGTATATTTAATAATATGTAATAATGGAATAAAACACAGAACAAAACTTCATTTATTTTAATCATTGATTGATAAAAATTTTTAGGACCCTTTATGTATATTTAATAGTTATGTGCCTGTAGACAGGGGTAATGATTATACAAAGTAGAATTAAAGATTAATGAGCAGCCCTTTGCCTTTGAGTTGCCAAAAGAGTGGGTTTATAAAGTCTTTCCTGGGCTTTTAAATAATTCTTAACAGAATCCTTCCCTTTAAAACCAATTTCTATCTGGTATCTCCATCTGAAATTTTAACTTATTTTGATAGCATAGGACTTTTTACATTTATTTTCTTTTTCTAACATTTCAATTTTTTTGCACATAGCAAATTAGTTCTCACTGAAGTATCATAAAGTTAGCTTTTTAAATTTAAAAATGCTTATTCTAATATAGGTCTGTAATTGTTAAGATTTATTAAGTGTAAATTAATTTGAAAAAAACTAATCAGGGCACCTGGTGGCTCAGTCAGAGGAACATGCTGACTCTTGATCTCAGGTTCGTGAGTTTGAGTCCCATGTTGGGTGTAGAAATTACTTAAATAAATAAAACTTTAAGAAAAAAGAAAAAGAAAAACTGATCAAATAATTTCAGTTGATGTTGCCATTATTCTGGTAAAATAAACCACACTGCCCAGTGTGAAGAAAGAATATCTATCGCATAATTCTTGGAGATTATAGCAGCAGATCTCCATAAGAAACAAAGTCAAATATACCAGGCAGGGGAGAAAAGGAAAGGTATATAATTGTGACAAGTGCATTAGTTAGTATAATACCTAACATGCCTGAGGGAATCACTCTTGTTAATAACAAACACTTTGGCTGTGGTATTGTGGGACATGATGTATTTTCCGAAATACCAGACTAGTTTTGGGGAGCACCTACCAACCCAAATATTTCTTTAAAACTAATCTTATATTTTTCTTACATAAAACTCAGGTAAAATGGTCCAGCTACTTAATTTTTTTGGTCAGGTCTTTCATTATTAAATTTGCCTCGCACATGGACTGGTAGTATTTGTCTTCTAGAAAATTGCAATAATGTGAAACTGGAAACTTGGTTCAGTTCTGAGTTTTCCTGTAAGAAAATCTTAGTTCCTAATAGAATATATGGCATAGTCTTAGAATCCCATTGTTCAGGTAAATAGCTACTAAAGGTGAAAACTAGTTTTCTGTGCATTGTATTAGAGATTGACAAAATATAAAATCTTAGGTGACTTGATTGTCCTAAGTATAAAGTAAATGATATACCTAATGGTATCTTCATTGTACTTTTTTGGCCTTTGGCAATGTAAGGTTACTAAATATCTTGTATTTATTATAAATTTTCCTGTTTCAAAGGGTGGGTAAAAGAAGGTCCCTTGAGAGTAATTCAGGGTAAATTTCTTTAGAACAATTGGAATTTTTGGCAGTTTTGTCAGATACCAGGGTTGCTGAATTAATCTTCAAATGGAGCCTCTCTATTTTGCTGTTGGAACCTTTAGTTAATGACTTAATAGAAATATGTGTGGTATAGTGTATACTCCTAGTTCTACCTTCATAGATGCGGAAGCTGGATTATGTCTTCGCAGGGTCACACAGGAATGTTGGACACTTGTCTTTAATCCTCAAACCGTCATGAATTTCTCCTTTCGCAGTCCAGTCTTTATAATCTTTTAGGTCTAACCAGCTATCACAGGATGCAAAAAAACTAACATCTATAAAAACAGGGTTACTCAAGGTAGAGGAGTCACCATTTTTCATCTGAGATATTTCTTCTTTACCTTGTGCCCCCTTTCCTCTGATAGATCTGTTAAGTCATTCTTATTAGTTAAACCATTCTTAGGATCTCAGCTTTTACTAACTTCTCAGTCAAAGAAAACTTCATATTTAAGGCCTAAGAGTTGAGACCATTTCATTAATATGTGAAAGGATGTGTTGTTCTGCGATGAGGGGCAGGGCTAGCTAACCTCTCTTGGCACCTCCAGGAAACTACCCAGCTCTGCTGGGGAAGCTGCACACAGGAAAGGAAACAGTTACTACTCCACGGTGAGTAACCCTGTTTTCTCCTTATTTCACCTTCTGTTTTCATTGATTTTTAAAGCTTGTGTGTCAGACGTGGAAATAGCTCTTATGCTCAGAGTTAACTTTAAACCTAGCAGCCTTTTATTCCCATGGTAGAGTAAGAGCCAGCTTTTCATTTGTGTTCATAGCTATTACTGATGCCTAGGGTTGAATTGGACAACAGAACACTGAAATGGGTCAATTGTTTCTTGTGAAACACTTGAATCTTGAATGGGGAAAAAAATCTCTGTAAATTAGTGGCTTGGTTTTTATACTTTCTATGTTTGCTTTCACGGGGTGGGGGGACTATAGGGAAGAGTAGGCTGTTCTTTCACCTACAGAAAAGAATTATTGTTTGTACCTGTTTCATGACAGCTCACCTAGCCTTCGTTTGCATATCTGATAAGCATTGTATATTTTGTTTTTCTGTTACTAGTCATTTCTTCCTTTTTCACCACCCTTTCTCTCCCACCAGTGATTGTTTCCATAGTTCTACTCTAATCAGATCTGGAGAAGATTGCCATCTAGTGGTACAAATAACCTGGCTGTTGAAAATTTCTGGGTCTTTTTTTTTTTTTTTTTAGTGGCATAAATATTGAACATATTTTGTTACAAATGAAGTGGCCTTGTGCTGTCTAGTGCTTTGAAGCTGATTTAACTTTATTATTGTTGTATAAATGGTATTATGTATAATATGTTGTGTTGGAATTTTTGTCAGACTTTTATTTAGTTCCTGAGGTTAAATTATGACTGTTTGTAAAATGTACCAGGAGGAAAAGAATGAACTTTATGTGGGTTGGGGTAGTAATGGTATTTGATTTAAATTATGCATATTGCTCCTATAGCTTTAAAACAGAACACACATCTCTACGTGCTAATGACACTTTAAATATGCTCTCTGCTAAGGTTGTGTAAGTAACTAAAAATGACAAGAGCAGTTTTAAGTATCTAAGTAAAAGCAGTACACATATACTTAGTGTGGCCACAGAAAGATACAATCAGAGTTTTACTTGGGTAGTAGAGATTTCTTTTAGGTAATTTATTCTAAACCCAGAGGAAATATTTTGTATAAATATGTATTTACATTCTGAAAAACATTTAGTGTAAAACCCGTCAATCCAATCAGAATTTAATTAATTTGTTAGAGAAGAGATCTATTAAAACAGAATCTTAGGTAAATAAAGGTAAAATGAATTTGTGATGGATCGGAACAAACAAAAGCTGAAATTCATGTCTGACCAGATGCTTTTGTACACTTAAGATAGGAAGTATATGTTTTAATTCAGGTCTCAAAAGTAAAAGCCTAAGCTGGTTTTATTTAAATGTACTTCTTAATACTTTAAAATTCCAAACAGGTTGAGATATTTAAAAAATTATAATCAGTAATAATATTTCTTCAAATTTTCTAGTAGGGTAACAATTCAGAGTGACACATGAATTTTAAGTTAGCATCAGGGCTCTTTCGTAAGACTTGTTTGCCGTTACTAGAGTCAGAAATGTATACAGGCAAAACATTGCAAATACCCAACTGATAACTCTTTTTGTTGTTCTTGTTTGATAGATTTTTCTTAATATAGTAAAAAGTATTCAAAGTAGTTTAGAGATTGCTTTTTATGTTATTTGTAAAAAGAATTTTATGACTAATTAAAATACATGGTTGGTTTAGTGTTTGGTACTAGGTACAGACTAGGTAAGGTACAAGAGCATTCCTACTTTACAAAACTACTGATGTTTATGCAGCAGTGAGGAGACATCAGCTGTCATATGGTTGCTCAAGACAAGCATCTTCCTGTGCTGTAACAGGGAAGAAGGAATGGGGGGGAGGTGGGAGGGAATGGTCTTACATTTTATGCTTGTTGACTGAGCACAGTCTTTTTCTCTTTGGTGGTGAAATTTAATTTCAGTAGAGATCTTGGACTCCTTGAAGTTCATTGTAAAGGAATCTGATTTTAGTTTTAACTGACTGGATTCTGGATACATATATATTGTTTAGTCATACACAGTTTTACAGAATGTTCCAGTTTGCAAGATGTTGCCAAAGGTTGAAGCTTTATAGGATGAAAACGCAAATTTTAAGAATTTGAATTTGAGTCTATGAAAAGCAAATTAATATTTTATGTTATAAAATATAACCATTCTGGGGTGCCAGCGTGACTCAGTTGGTTGAGCGTCTGACTCTTGGTTTTGGCTCAGGTCACAATCTCACGGTCCATATCCCTGAGTACAAGCCCCGTATTTTACTCTGTGCTGACAGTGGGGAGCCTGCTGGAAATTCTCTCCCTCTGCCTCTTCCTGCTTGCACTAGCGCACGCTCTCTCCATCTCTCTCAAAAATAAGCAAACATTTTTTTAAAAAGATAAATTTTAAGAATATATAATCATTATTTATTAGGCTTGATTTGAAACACAAGGCAGTATTGTTAGTGAGGAGCATAGTTAAATAATTAGCAGTTTAGTCATCTTAATGTTATTACCCATTTAGACAAATCCCAGAATTCATAACTACCAAATGCTGAGATGGAGATAACTTGCTTAATTCAGGTTGAAAAGATACAATTTAGATAGGGGTATGTTGAGTTAAAAATAGTTTCTTCTTCATGACAAGTGGTGTGTAGTTCATGAATGAGGAGTACAACAAAATTTCTATTTGTTACTTATTAGCTTTGTGTTGGATATGCTTACCCCATGTTTCCTTGGCATTTGTGCCTTTGCCCTTCCTCTTAGAAAGTATTATCTTCTTGTTTATTAAAAGTTGAATTGATAGGTATTTTGAAGTAAAATGTTGAAAATATTTTCCATTGAAGAAAATTTAGATTTCAGATACAAAGATTCCTATTCCCTCGTAAAATCTGTTTTTAGATACCTTAAAAGTAGCTTTTAATTGTTTAATGAGTTTAACCAGCTACGTCTGGTTCTGGTAACATAATTCTTTCTGGCAGGCCTTTAATTAGGAAATGCAGTGTTTTTATGTCTGATCATTTTCGAAAGAAAGTAATGACATTTTACTGCAGATATTAGGAGAGATCATTGTGGGTGGCTTTAAGCAGAAGGGTAATGATTATTTTTAAAAGTTTGTAAGCTATATATTCTTTAGTAAAATTTGAGCTTTTGGTGCCTAGTTTTAACCTTTATTATAAAGCCAACTTTTCTTTGTATAAATGTTTGTCATCAGATTTAAGCTTTTATACTTGAATATTAAATATCATTGTTTTGTTTATTTGGGTGGTGAATTTTTCCCCATAAAGTCATTAAATTTAATTAACATTTTCTTTAAGATGAATAATATTGTCCTTACTGAAACAGATAATATTAATCTTCAGAAGGATAAAGAGTTGAAGTATTGAAGATGAGAAATCAGTACAAAAAAGCATCATCTTTGTTTTGATTTAAACATTCTAGCAATGACACTTTTCCCTTTCATCCTTCTTATTGGTATTATTAATAAATGCAAGCACTCTTGTTTTTATACAGGGTACCAAGTTTGGTGTCCTTGGAAGAGACAAAGTTGTATACTGGACTTGAATATGGTATGTAAATTCTGATCTGACTAAATTTTATGTGGAGAATTTTTGTCAGTTACTCTACAATAATTAAAATGGAATAATTTGTAGTTAGAATTTTCCTAGTCTCTTTTCATATATAAAATGAATATTAGTTAATTATACATACAGTAGCTATCTTTGCTTTTCCTGGAGAAACTGGAAATTTATATAAGAATAGTCAATAAAAGGTAAATATTTGGATGCCTTCTTATTTATTTGTGAGAGAGAGCGGGAAAGAGCCAGAGAGCGAGGGAGAATTCCAAGCAGGTTCCGTGCTGCCAGCACAGAGCCCAATGCAGGGCTCAATCCCATGAATCATGAGATCATGACTTGAGCTGAAATCAAGAGTTGTATGCTTAACTGGCTGAGGCACCCAGATGCCTCAATATTTGGATGCTTTCTGTGTGCAAAGGCAGTTTTTCCTATCTAGTCATGTGCATTTATGTTGAGAATTGATTTAGAACGGATACATTATACTTGATGTGAATGTAGGAATATTACAACCTTTATTTATTCTAACGATCTTTGTGTCTTCCTGTCATAGTGAATTAAATTTCATATAAGTATGTAAAATGTTAATTTAATGTTCTGAATCTAACATTAATAGAAATTTAGTACATTTCCTTATTGCTGGGTTAACAGTGGAATTAATTGCTACGGTGTAATTTTTGTTTGCTTGATTTGGGTTACCTATAACCAATTAGAGAATCCTACACATTTATGGTCCCTAATTAGTGGCTAGAGCCTTTGAAATATTGGCAAAGTGTTTTTTTCTCCCTCCTCCTCGACTGCCCAATGAAGTTTTATAAGCAGGTCTTTGTAAATGTGAAGGTTTTAAAAGTTACTCTGTATCATTAATCCAACTGTGATAAAAGGCAGACCCGTTTGGTTTTTTTCTTTGATACATGATTTATTCTTGACATAAACTGTTGATAGAAGCTTCAGTAGTCTGGGGGAGCATTCGGTGTGTCTAAAATGCCTTGTCTCATTTTTTAAAAAATAGATCTATCCAGAGAGAACCACCGAGAAGCAATTGCTAGGGTCATAAGGAAACTTCTTAGTAAGTACATGTATGCATTAACTTTATTTTAACTAATAAATATTTAGGAATTTTATAGCATATGTGCTTTTACTTAACTTTATTTAAATTTTAAATAATGAGAATATCAGGTAGTATTTTTTTCCATAACTAATAGATTCTTAATTCGTACATCAACATAATTATAGTAATTCAAAACATTCTAACCAGAATCCCTTTTCTTTTATTATAGACCACATACTTAACAATTCAGAGGATGATACCAAGTCTTTGTTTCTTATCATAAAGGTACAATTATCCTTTAATAGTTGCATGATTATTATGTGACTAAGTTCGACAGGATGGCTTATAAATATAAAATCTGAAATTTTTGACAGATTATTGGAGACCTTTTGCAGTTCCAAGGATCGCACAAGCATGAATTTGACTCTCGTTGGAAAAGCTTTAACCTAGTAAAGAAATCAATGGAAAATCGGGTCAGTATGTTCACCTACAGTCCCTGAATTAATTTTGTAAAATGTGTATAATATTGATGCAGCACTTGATTTAGCGATTGTTCAACATACAGATGAATTTTCCCTCTGCATAAAAATTGTAGATTTCCAAATATTGTATCATGGTATAATGGAAAGGATCCTGGAAAAATGTTTTCCTGATATAAAGTCTTCTGTGAATTTCCATGAGAGTCTCTGAACTCTTATTGGGTATTTGGAGTGTGATAACTGGGCAGGCTGCTGTGTAAGAACTTGACAGAATAAAAGATAGGAGGAATTGTCCACAGGCATGAATTTAAAGCATCCACTTCATGGAGATATCAGAAAAATATGTCTTATGTTATTTTTGCACTCCAGACATCAGTGCAAGCTTCTCAGGAACTTGGAAGAAAGAATAATTAAGCCAGCCATTTGATGTTGACTGCAGTGTTTTCTTCTGTAGGAGACTTACATTGAAGTTGAGTCTAAAAAGGTGGTAGGGATTTATTACTTAGGCAGAGGTTGCTACATATATTAGAGGGAATAGCATGTAAAACAGGGCAGGGAGACATACAAACACGGCACGCTTTAGAGAACAGTGGCTAGAGAGCAAAGTGGTATGAGGTAACAAGGTGGTTTATAGTTTTATCCCAAGAAAGTGCTTTCAGTTTTATATTCAGCATTGGGGGAGCCATTCAAGTTTCTCAGGTAGATCTGATTTGAATATTGGAAAGACCAGTCTTTGATCAATCAAAATGAATTCAATGAAATTTGAAAACCTCTGTCATCAGTGAAAAATAAGCAATAGGAGATTGAGACTATAAGCAGGGAGGGTAGTTAAACTATTGTAAATAGTCTAGGTGGAAAAAACACAGGCTGAATCAAGTCACTGACATTGGGATGCAAATAAGGTGTTTTGAAAAAGGAGAAAATGCAGGGACTTGATGACTAGTGAGATAAAGGTGTGAAAGAGGAGGAATCTTTGAGTTGCAGATAGCTGCCTTTAGTGAGCAGAGGAAGGTTGGGTGGTAGGGGAGATCATAAAAGATAATTTTTAGAAAAATAAAAGATACTATATTGTGTAGTAAACATACACAGTTACGTGGAAAGACTATTTATAAATGTAACAGGGTCAAGCAGTTTTGTTAGTAGTCTTTTCAGTAATTGACTGAATAAGGACTGGCTCAGTTTCTCTCCCCTGCATGGATCTGTTACTAAACTACCAGAGAAAAACACAGTGTTGGATGACCCATTTAAAGGAGATATTTCTTTTAAAAAAGGAGGAGGAGTATTTCTACTCTTAGCCATAAAATTAACTGAAATAATGTCTTCAAATGTAAGCTTGATCACTTTAGAATAAATGAAATACCTCCATTACCCACCTGCCCACCCTGGACCTTTACTGAACTAATTTTTCAATAAGGGATTCAGGGGAACCCACTAGTGTGGAACTTAGGGACAATGTTGAAGTGTCTTCTACTTTGCTTTTTAGCTCCATGGAAAAAAACAACATATCAGAGCACTATTGATTGACAGAGTAATGTTGCAGCATGAGGTAAATCTCTTTAAAATCATGATGGCTTTTATAAATGATAGTTTTCCAGATGACTATGTAATTGTTTGTGTTACTTCATAATTAAGTGAACTTTGTAGTAAAAACTTTGGGATTTGATTTTACATTGCTTAATTTTCATAGCTACGAACTCTGACTGTTGAGGGATGTGAATATAAAAGGATACATCAAGAGATGATCAGAGATCTGCTTCGTTTATCTACAAGTTCATACAGTCAGGTAAGGCCAGTTGACTCTGCCTCGCCTTCCTATTTTATTACAGTGCAATCTAAATATCCCCATTTCAGGGGTGCCTGAGTGGCTCAGTTGGTTAAGCATCTGACTTCGGCTGAGGTCATGATCTCACCGTTTCCAAGTTTGAGCCCCGCATCAGGCTCTGTGCTGACAGCTCAGACCCTGGAGCCTTTTTCAGATTCTGTGTCTTCCTCTCTGTCTCTGCCCCTCCCCTGCTTGTGTTCTGTCTCTCTCAAAAATGAATAAACGTTTTTTTTAAACATTTAAATAAACAAACAAACAAACATTCCTATTTCACATCCAAGGAAGTTTAAGTAATTTATTGGCATAGAAAACATCTTTCAAATTGCAAATATTCTCAAGCTAATTTTAGTAGTCTTTTTAAAATAATGTTGATTTTTACTGTTTGTTATTGCTTCTCAAATTTCTTTAAAAATGTAAAGTTGGGGAGGCCCACCTGGATTGCTCAGTCCTTTTAGCATCTGACTTCAGCTCAGGTCATCATCTCACGGTTTGTGAGTTTGAACCCCTCGTTGGGCTCTGTGCTGACAGCTCAGAGCCTGGAGCCTGCTTTGGATTCTGTGTCTCCCTCTCTCTGCCCCTCTCCCACTCAGGTTCTTCCCCTCCTCCCCCAAAAATAAACATTAAAAATGTAAAGTTGGTAGATGTTGTAATGTTGCTCCCACTTAATCAGATCACATTATGCAGGCCAGTCTGGGAAGATGGTATAATTCCCCCTAGGTGTTATGCTTGGGTTTCGGCAACCTGCCACCATCTGAACTATGGAGTCCATCCTTTAAGGTAGCATTGGACCAAGAGATTCTCTTTAAGCACAGACAATTGGAAAAAGCAAAATTCATGGAAAGCTAATTACTCTGTCTTTATAAAATAATGTAAATTTAGAAACTAGTCTCTAAATCAAAGATTGCACCTCAAGTAATGATTAAAGAGTTTGAAATATATACACTGTGTCAGTGTTTTGAAACATGGGCAGTGTGCCACTTTTACTGTAGTTTGTTATTATTTGTTACTATTTAGTTTGTGGGCTATAAACTTATACTGAATCTTTTGTCTGGGTTCAAGAAAGTCTTGGATTTTTCTCTGTTTAGAAAATGTTAACTCTTCTCATCAAAAGTAAGTCAGAAGAGAAAGTTAACTAGTCTGCTGATTATGTTAAGGAGTAAGCACATATCATTTCTATTCAGTCTCTCCTTTACCAAAAATATCTGAACCTGTGTAAACTGTGGATGTGGGTGGTGGTAATGTACATTCATTTTGGAAAAAAGATAATCCTTTACTTGTTTTTGCTAAGGTATATGGTTGGATGTATTTTTCTATTACTACACCAATATTGAAATTATTTTTGATAATTCATTTAGAAGTTTTTATAGTTTTGTCTACCATTTAATAAATATTGTTAACAATACTTTCTTCAGGTCAGAAACAAGGCTCAGCAAACATTTTTTGCTGCCTTGGGCGCATATAACTTCTGTTGCAGAGATATCATTCCCTTGGTTTTGGAGTTCTTACGGCCGGATAGACAAGATGTCACACAACAGCAGTTCAAGGTATAGGGTTTTCTGTTTTACTTAATTCTGAAAATTTTCAGATATACAGAAAGTTAAAAGAATTGTACAGTAAACATCCATATGTCCACCCCTCAGATTCTGTATTTAACATTTTACTGTATTTGCTTTATCACCTATGTGTCTCTATGTCCATCTTATTTCTTTATGTTAAAATAAATTGAAGACATCCATACCCTTCACCTTTAAACATATAGGTTTCTTTCCTCCCTAGTTATTTACTTATCTATGTTTATGATCGGTGTTATGATGGAGAGAGTGTAGACAGCTATTTGAGTTGAGCACCAGTGATAAATAGCCTGGCTGGCCTGTAGGAGAGGCGGGTGAAAGACCAGAATGTTTAGAGTAATGAGACCCACGTGTTGGAAGTCCTGAGACAGCAAGAAACATAGTGAGTTCGAGCAACTGAGTGACAGCTTGTATGATTAGAGCAGAGAGAGAAGGGAACGGCATAAGGAAAATAGTATATCCCACAGGAGTACAGTAGAGTACAGATGAAACATGATTGCTTACACTGTCAGAAGTAGGTTGATTCAGTGTGATTTAGGATAGAGAATTGATGAGACTTCATGGTTGAATATGAAGGTGCTGAACTGAAAGGATGTATCACAGTTCTTCAGGTTCAGATTGTACAGCTGGTTATTGGGTACATCAGAGAGAGAACAGGGAGACTAGATGATGAATTTGTTTGAACAAGTTATATTTGAAGTGTCTCCTATAAACTAAGAGGCATTGTCAAGTAGGCAGTCAGACCTCATTTCTCCACAACACACAGTGTCAGCGTGTGTTGATGACCGTGAAATCTTTGGGCACAGATAAGAGAGTCGAGGAGAAGAGTAAGAAGAGAAGAGGACTAGGGAGGCAAGTATTGAGACAACTCCACTAGGACCCCAAGAAGAGGTAACCGATGAGGGAAAGATGCAAAAGATAATAAGAAGTGAGGGGTTACAGAAGCCACAGAGAGATCTTTCCCTGAGAGACAAGGGACTCAGTCAGCAGATCATTTGCTTTCTGGAGGAGTTAAGATTACAACTTTACGTGTTCCTTGACGTTGTCATGTAATTAATACCAGTCAACAAACCATAGCTTGGGCTCAATTCATTGCTTTGATAAGTAAAGTTTCATTGGAACACAGTCATGTCCATTCCTTTATGTATCATGTCTGTGGCTGCTTTCACACTACAGTTGTGTAGATAAGTCGTTGCAACAGAGACCACATGGCCACTATTTACTATTAGCCCTTTAGAGAAAAAGTTTGCTGAACTCTGATGTAGATGTATAATTCAAGAGTATTGTGGAATGTCTGACTCCTAGAGTGGCACATTTTCCACCATGTTGGGTGCAGTTTAAAGGGACAAAATCAGGTAGGTCAAGTAATATCAAAAGTGAAAAATGTCTCTTAGGTCAGTAAACTCAAAATTACCAGTGATCTTATGGGAACCTGTAAAGAGGAGTAGAGCACACAGTAGGTAATGAGCCAGATCAGAATGGAGTTAGGGTGAATGTTTAAAAAATAACATAATAGCTCTTTTCATTAAAATAGGATATTTTTCAAAAGGGTACCTCAGGTCATCAGAATCATTCTGATTAATTGAGCTTCTCCAAGTAAAAAGCACACAGTTTAATTACATAACCTAGTTTTTATATGCTTAAAATACATCACAACCAGACTTGAGAAATTATTCCAAACGTGCTCTACAACTCTAAAAGTGGTGTATCTTACGGCCTTCATGATACAATTGTAGTAGAAGAGAATTGGAGTGGAAGCTGTATGCCTACAAACAACAGCCTTACGTTTCTGTGTTATCTTACTAATAGCTGTTCATTGAGCTAATCCTCTGCCAGATGATTTAGGGAAAATATTACTGGATGACAATTAAAGGTCAAGTTCAAGTTTCTAAAAGTAGTATATTATGTGTATGAACCTATTTTATTGACCAGTATCAGGCACTTAAATAATCAGTGTTTAGTAAATTTAAAAGCAACTCGTAGGTGAATTGGCTACAACTAAACAATACCTCTTATTTCCCATATTAATTATTTTTTCCTGCAGGGTGCCTTGTACTGTCTCCTTGGAAATCACAGTGGTGTATGTTTGGCAAACCTTCATGATTGGGACTGTATTGTACAGACTTGGCCAGCAATTGTTTCTTCTGGGCTTAGCAAAGCAATGTCCTTGGAAAAACCATCAATAGTGAGACTGTTTGATGATCTTGCAGAAAAGATTCATCGGCAATATGAAACAATTGGCTTGGACTTCACAGTAAGCAAAAACCATTTTTTAATTCAAATTTTAGTGGAAATTAACATTTGCTTTGTTTCCGTTTTGTACTTAGTAATCATTACCTTTGGTAGCAGGGTGGAGTGTGAATTCGGAGCATGGCCAGGAGAGAGGTAGAAGGTTTTCTTCCAAGAGACAACAAAGGGTTATTAACACTCTTGCATTTAACCATTATTCTTTGTATATCGATGGCCTCATTTTTCAAAGAGTTGATTATATTTTAGGAGATCACTCTTACTAGCCAAAGTCACATAAGTTTGATCAGAGGGTTCATAATTTATAGTGATGAAAATTAAAATTGGATGATTTGACAAATGAGGAAGTAAAGAGTATCAATTTCAGTGGTACTCATAAGGAGAGATAACAGCAGGAGCAAATGTATATCCCCATCATAATTGAGGATAGATAAAAGTGGTGTGAGTGCAGGTAAATTGTCCTCTTCTATAAAGTAATTGTGTTTGACATCTATCCTTTGGTTTCTAAACACTGCTCTAAATATATTTCTGTAAAACATAGTCTTGGTATTTGCAGCTGTCATTAGATGATGCCTTTTTTATTAAATGTTTTATTTTTTAAGTAATCTCTCCACCCAGCGTGGGGCTCGAACTTAACGCCAAGATCAAGAGGTGCATGCTCTACCAACTGAGCCAGCTAGGCTCCCTAGATTATGCTTTCTTTAAAAAAAAAAAAAAAAGTGTTTTTTTAAAATATGTAATTCACATAACAAAAAATTCACCCTTTTAACATAACACAATAGCATACTATATTTTCACAATAGTATATTCTCAGTGCTCTGCCACCGTCCCTACTCTCATTTCAGAACATTGTCATCACTCAGAAAGAAACCCGGTACCCAGGAGCAGTCACTGCTATTCCCCCAACATTGCTAGTCCCTGGAGATCACTAATATCCCTTGCCTTTTATGGACATTTCATATAAATGGAATCATACATAGGTGACCTTTTGTATCTGGCTTCTTTCTCTGAGCAGAACGTTGTCAAGATTTGTTCATGTTGTGACTTGTATCAGTGCCTCATTTCCCCCCCTTACTTTTCTTTTTTTTTAAGATTCCAAAGTCCTGTGTTGAAATAGCAGAATTACTTCAACAATCAAAAAACCCCTCTTCCAACCAGATAATGCTTAGTTCAGAAGAAATTAAAGAAGGACTTAAGCGCCAACAAGAAAAGAATGCAGATGCCCTGAGGTAATTACGAATGCCTGCTTTATCAAGATAGATAACACTAAAGACAGCCGACTTTAAATATTTCTGAAATAAAGATTCACCATAAGTACCTCATGAAGTTTATACATCGATTCTTAAAAAAATAAAAATGTTAGGAAATAATTATTGTGAAGTTCCCTGATGGTTACTTTTAGCTATAGAAATGGAACACACCATCTTAAAATTGTTTTAAAAGACTTTTGAAATTTGGAACCCAAGCAGCTCAGTGCTTCAGTGATAACACTTAAGCAGGAGCCTTTCCAGCTTGATTTTGTCTTTGTCTTATGGTTATGCGTATTAATTTTTTTCTAACATATCTATGTAAGAATAAACTATTACAGCCTGCCTTGTATATTCCTAGAGTACCATACAGATAAACTACTTCTAACATTGGTTGCTACTCACAGATTTACTTCTGAATATCTGCTTGGGAACAGTTGTACCTAGTACTTTTTGTTGTTTTCTCTCTGTCCTTCGTGGTCTTTTCTCACTGTCTCTCTTTACCCATCTGCTTTCACTCTGGCTTGGGTCTCACCAGACCTTTTATGGTCTCTAAATATATCAGACAGTCCTCTTAGATGCTGTCACTATAGCTATCACTATAGCATGTAAGAGGATGGCGAATTTAGCTAGAATTTGAATTTATGTTACATTATTTGATGTTCATCTTAGTGTTGTATTAAAACAATGCCTCAACTGAATTTTTTTTTTTTTTTTTTTTAAGGAACTATGAAAATTTGGTAAACACTTTATTAGATGGTGTGGAGCAGAGAAACTTGTAAGTGCGAATTTTTTTTAATGTTTATTTATTTTTGAGAGAGAGAGAGAGAGAGCACAAGCCGGGGTGCGGCAGAGAGAGAGGGAGAGAGACAAAGAATTTGAAGCAGGCTCCAGGCTCCGAGCTGTCAGCTCAGAGCCTGATGCAAGGCTTGAACCCACAAAACCATGAGGTCATGACATGATCCAAAGTTGGACACAGAACCAACTGAGCCACCCAGGCACCTGGAATTTTTTTTTTTTTTTGATGTTTGTTTATTTTAGGATGAGCATGCGCTTGGGGGGGGGAGGGGTGCAGAGAGAGGGAGACAGAATCCCAAGCAGGCTGTGTGCTGTTGGCTCAGAGCTCGATGCCTGGCTTGAACTCATGAGCTGATGAGATCATGACTTGAGCCGAAATCAGGAGTCAGATGCTTAACCATGGAGCCACCCAGATGCCTGCAAAATTTCTTCTCTTTTTTTTTTTTTTAAATTCCTCAAAGCTTTTACCTTAATTACTATAGGAGGTTTCTTCCCTGAATGCGATGAATGACTGTGTCAGGAAAAATTACAGTCTGATTCATGAATTAAAAGAGAAGTAACAGGTGAACTTTGGGTCTAGTGATAGGAGTGGTGTTCATCACTATACCTATTTTAATTCTTAGGAAACTTAAAATTACACTGTTTCAAATACAGTTTAAAAGTGGTTTTATGAGGGGCGCCTGGGTGGCCTAGTCAGTTAAGCGTCTGACTTTCGCTTAGGTCATGATCTCACGGTTCGTGGGTTCGAGTCCCGCATCGGGCTCTGTGCTGACTGCCAGCTCAGAGCCTGGAGCCTGTTTCAGTCTGTGACTCCCTCTCTCTCTGACCCTCCCCTGCTCATGCTGTCTCTCTCTCTCTCCTAGAAATAAATTTAAAAAAAAAAACAAACGTGGTTTTATGAGTGGTATGTTTTGTGATTTTTTTTTCCCCCCTCTCCCTTTCAGGCCTTGGAAGTTTGAACATATAGGCATTGGGCTTCTATCTCTGCTCTTGAGAGATGACCGAGTGTTACCTCTTCGTGCCATACGTTTTTTTATTGAGAATCTCAACCATGATGCGATTGTAGTCCGAAAGGTAGATACTTGATTGTAGCTGCTGTCTTGGGTTTGAGAATTTTTACCTCACCTGAAGCTTTTAAAGTCTTCCCAAGACACTTCACCTTGAAATGTATTGATTTGAAATTTATCACTGTTGGTTCAGAGATGATAATTATTTATCCAACATATATATGAGGGCGTGTTCAGGCAGTGTGCATCTCAACACTGGGAGTATACAGGGAACAAGGTTATAGACTGATGACAAATACTGACTTTAAAAAATTAATGACAAGTATGAAGTGTTGATAGGAAGGGAAAGATACCTGAGGATACAACTCTTTGGTTTTATTCACAAAAGTGTTAGAGGTAGAGTACAAGACAGGGCTGACCGAGCCTGGTGCACTGGAGAAAGACCTTTTAGAAGAAATGTCTAGTTGACATTTGAAGAATGAGCAGATAATTGGTTTAACAAAGAAAATATCGAAGTTTACCAGGGAGACTAGCGTGGATCGAAGTAGGAACTTTCAGTGACTCATTTCCAGTCCGATTTAGTGCTCACGTGGCTGTGCTGCTAGATGTCAGCAGGCGAAGCATTTACCTGCGTGTGAAAGAAGCAGAGCCCAGCTTCTGCTTTGATCAAGACAGGCACCCAGCTGTTCAAGAGACTTAAAATGTTAACACGTGTACTGTAACCTGTCGTCTTTTCTAGATGGCAATCTCAGCTGTGGCTGGTATTCTTAAGCAGCTCAAAAGAACCCACAAAAAGCTGACCATCAACCCCTATGAAATGAGTAAGTACTACCAAATGTAATTAATATGCTGTCTCTCTCTCTCTCTCTCAGAATAAATAAACTTAAAAAAAAATAGATGGATTCTGGGACACCTAGGCTAACTCAGTAGGAAGAACATGCAGCTCTTGATCTTGGGGTCATGAGTTCCAACCCCACACTGAGTGTAAAGATTACTAAAAAAAGAAATAAATACACTTTTAAAACAATAAATGGACCCTGTATCTTCATAATAACATGTACCTTTTGTATACTGTCCACAGACATGTGATCTATTTATTTATCTAACCAACCAAGTGATTATACTAGCTGGTTCTTTATCAAACTGTGTATCACAGATCTAAAGTTAACATTAATTATGAAATACCAGTATCATTAATATATCACTATGTTAATTGTTTCTCTGTGGGTGGTAGAATTAGAGGCAAGGTTTATTTTCTTCTTTATACTGTATTATCAGATTTTCTGAGTAGTAATCTAATCAGGATGGTGTTCAGAAAAAAATGATGAATTAACTTGATTTTGGAAAGAAAAAATGTCATTTTTATTCCTCTGGTATCACATTTTTTCAATCCCTGATAGATCCTTTGACATTTGGACAACTGTCTTTAGTCCTTCTCCACCCCATCTTTGGGAAGGGAGTGTATCTATGCTCCACCATCTTTGTTTGGGAATGCTGTAAAATGATGTTAACTAAATGTGTGAAAGACTTTTATTACACTCCCTACTACTAATCTTGTTTTGTCCTCACTTGAAACACATTTGTAGGTCCCATATTAAATGGATATTTAATGGTTCCCCAAAAACGTTCATATATAGAAAGAATGTATATATATATAAGACATGTAAAATGTTACATGTTTCACATGGTAAAATGTTAAAATTTGGGGCATCAGGGTGAAGAATATATGGGGATTCTTTGAGCACTTTAAGCCTGAAAATAATTCAAATCTAAAATGTTTTAACAAAATCTTTTTAACTTTTGGTAAAAGGAATGGAGTGTGGATCATACTTGATTCCCCCCCCCCCCCCACCAAATACTTATCCCATTAGTGGATAATGCCTCATATATATGTGATCTTGCCTTGAGCGTATTTTGGTAATTGTGTTATGAAGAGAGTCTAGTACTATTGATTAAAAGTTGAGAGTAAACATTGCCTGAATATTTTTAAGTTTATCAAATGTAATTGTCTTTTCCTTAAGGTGGATATTCTAAACCTACCCAAATTCTTGCTGGTGATAGGCCTGATAATCATTGGTTGCATTATGATAGCAAAAGTATACCAAGAACCAAGAAAGAATGGGAGTCCAGCTGCTTTGTGGAAAAAACTCACTGGGGATACTACACTTGGCCGCAGTAAGTGGTCGCTTGCCATGTACCTTATTATTCAACAGCTTGTCTGTGATGTAATATGTTTTATCATTTTGGATTTTTGGAGAGATTCAGAGGCACTTAAAGCAGGTAGAGGTACTCTGTCACCAAAAACAAAAAAATCTCTTCCTTTTTTCTTCTTCTTTCTTTTTCTTTTACTTCTACTAATGCTATACCTCAGTCTTGCCTCTTTATCTTTCCACTGAAACCCTTAGCCTTCTTATTCCCACCCTTATGCATGTAAGGAGTTTGTTAATAGCTGTTCTAAATAATATTCTCACCAGTCAGTGCTACATATGCCTGAACCAGCCCAGAGAAATACTTAACTCGTCTCTTAGTGTCGACTTATGTCACACAGTGAGCAGATAAATTTTTAAGGCCAAAGTTGTTAGTGATGTACTTATATCCCCAAACTTAGCATCTCATTTAGAGTTCATTAAAAGTGCCTTCTCATACTTTCTGTCTGTGAAGCTATACTCTTTTTTTCTACATGTATTACAAATATCAACCCTTACTGTAGGAATATGGTTGTTTATGCTGGTGTGGAAGAGCAGCCTAAGCTGGGCAGAAGCAGGGAGGATTTGACAGAGGTAAGCATTCCATTTTCACTATGTGTAAACACTTACCCTGTTCACAAGCATCTTACTTTGTGTTTCTGATTTTTTTCAAACTGAGCTGAGTGTATTTCAGGATATCACTGGGTAAATACTGGTAAATGTGTACTCCCCATTCTGTTAGGGCCTGTTGGCAAGTCTTTGTATTTAAGATTACTCTCATGTTACTACTCCACTTTACCCTGGGTACTGCTTTATATAGTTACTGCATGTTTCTTGTATCAGTTCTGTGTGGTAAGAAGCTTCTTGAGGGCAAAGATAATGCCTGGCTTTTAGGTGGGTTTTTGTTTATTTGTTTGTTTGGCTTTTAGTTTTTTATTGCATATAAATGATGGGTACTCAGTAAATAGATGTTTGTAGATTTAAGTTAAAACCCCTTTGTTTTCATAAAGCTTATTTCTCCATCATTTTAAAAGTTTACTAAAGACTTTTAAGTTAGTGTCTTTCTCAATTAGGTTAATGATGTAGCTTGCTTTTTTTTTTTTTTTTTTTTTTTTAATGTAAATTCTGTGCTCAATGTGGGGTTTGAACTCATGATCCTGAGATCAAGAGTCCCAGGCTCTACTGACTGAGCCAGACAGGTGCCCCTAGCTTTTATTTTCTAATTCAACAAAGTTTACCTTTTAACTTCTGATGTTTTAGAAATATGGAAATAATTTGTTGGGGTTTGGTTTATAGTTTGGAGGGTTTTCCTAAATCATACACCAGATGGCACAATACCTCTGTCCTTATTTCACAAGCAGTCTGATTATAGGTTTTATTTCCATTTGAGAAATGGAATTCAAACTTGAATGTCTAAAGGAAAACTTTGCAACTGTTACAGATTTAGCATTTCTAGCTGATGATGATATTTTGGTTGTAGAAAGCCTTTGTGGGAACTAAACACTCTTTAAAACAAAAATAATAGCCTAGTGTTGATAATTAAAAGTTTACAATTGAATTTTGACATTTCAGAATCTTGTTTTTAAATAGATCTTAAACCCTGATTGCTTATTTTTTTTTAACTTTATAGGCTGAACAGATTATATTTGATCATTTTTCTGATCCTAAATTTGTTGAACAGTTAATTACTTTTCTATCTTTAGAAGACAGAAAAGGAAAAGATAAGTTTAATCCTCGCCGTTTTTGCCTCTTTAAGGTAAATATGTTATTTAATATCCTTCTTCATAAAGCTTAGTGACTGTCAGTTTGTCAGTTCATAAGTTTTAAAGTCAAAGTTTGAGTCTGGCTGTCTGCTGTCTTTATCTAAAGTGGCTCTAGAAGTTACCCCAGTCATATTGATCTTAGCTTAAAGTCTAGGAGTTTTTAAGAAAAAGAAGCCTTTTAATATTTATCTCTAATATTTGTAATTAGCAGTATAAGAAAAAACCCACCAGACTATATGCATTTAGTGTTCATTTGAGTTTTTTGAGGTGTGTGATGTTTTTAAGGTCTGAAAGGTTAGTAATTTTGATTTCATTCATTAAATTTTAATAGGATATGTAAACACTTTTTATTTAAGTTTACAGACATTGTTAAAGCATTTCTAAAGGGGAGAACACTTGGGGTTTTATAAGCACAGTAGTTATGTAAATAAACACAGGCATATTCTTATAATGGAGATGATAGTCATTTGAATACTGAAGAACTTTATTTTTTTGTTGTTTTTATAGGGCATATTCAGAAATTTTGATGATGCATTTCTGCCAGTTCTGAAGCCCCATTTAGAACGTTTGGTTGCAGACTCACATGAAAGCACCCAGCGATGTGTTGCAGAAATTATAGCTGGTTTAATCAGAGGTTCTAAGCATTGGACGTTTGAAAAGGTGATGTATTTGCATAGCACCTTCCCTGTTAAACCTATAATACTCACTTTTGTAGCAGTTCCCAACCTAGTAAATTCTAATACTGAAAACATGAAGTGTTCAAATTCCATATTGCTTTTGAGTATAGATCACAAATTAGTGGTGTATGGGCAACATTCATTACCTTTTGAAATTTGGATTATTTGCCAACATTAGGGGAAGAACCCTAAAAAATGATTTCCGTTTCTCTGGAAAAACAGGAAGATCCTGGAACTGGTTCTACATTACTGCATTGCCTCAATTGGCTAGTGTGCTGGGCATGGGCTGCTCCCTTCATGAGGCAGTCTGTCTCTGCTCACTAAATCCTTTCTCATAGGGATGCCTGGGTGGCTCAGTCATTTGAGTGTCCGGCTCGATTTCAGCTCAGATCATGGTCCCGGGTTTGTTGGATCAAGGCCCATGTTGGGCTCTGCACTGATAGCGTGAAGTCTGCTTGGGATTCTCTCTTTCTTTCTCTGCCTCTCCCCAGCTCATGTGTGCATATTTGCACACACATGCTCTCTCTCTCCAAATTAATACATAAACATTTTCTTAAAAATCCTTTCTCAGCCTTCTTGCTTGTCACTCGTGTAGTGTTCTAGGCAGTTTGAGTCTGACAGCCTTTTTTTAAGTATCCCTCTTTTTAATTGAAAGATTCAGTTTTATATACTTACCCTAAGGTTAGTTTCTTACCAAGATTCACTAGACTGAAAATACCCAGAATGCCAAAATACAAGGCTGGCCACCATTTCCTCAAAGAAGAGATGCAGCTGCTGGTTTTGGCAGACTTAATTACACTTAAACATGTCACACATATCCTTGTCATCCTGTCTCTGTCATTTTTTACTTACCTCTTTTCTGAGCCCATCTCCTTTCCTTATGAGTTGTTTAAGATACAGCTTTCCTCTGCCCCCTCCCCGAAGCCTGATGCTCTGGCTGGAAATTTTATCCCAAGTCCTGCCTCCTCGTCCCGTATCGGTTCTTTTTTCTAAAGTGCAGAAAAGTAGGATCTCAGGTCCCACTTGATCTAATAAATCAGAATCTGCATTTTATCAAGATCTCTAGGTGATTTGTATTCTCAATAAACTGAGAAGCATCTATACACATGTGTTTGCAGTCTCTGTATCACTGAGCACTTTTAAAAGGCTATTTATAATAATCCAAAACTTGGAGTTTAAAGATTATACTTCAGGCTAATACTAAATTGTATTAAAAAGTCATTGCTTCCAAGTGGACCCAAAAGTATACAGCCAACTAATCTTTGACAAAGCAGGAAAGAATATCCAATGGAAAAAAGACAGCCTTTTTAACAGATGGTGTTGGGAGAACTGGACAGCAACATGCAGAAGAATGAAACTAGATCATTTTCTCACACCATGCACAAAAATCAACTCAAAATGGATAAAGGACCTGAACGTGAGACAGGAAAC